TCTCGGAAACGAATAAAAACTTGGCAACCCTGCGTACTTACCTTCAATGGATACTAAAATCTGCCACTTTTATCTAATTTAACCTACTTTGTCCCTCTTACCGGTTCGTAGATAGCAATAGTGGTATCACTTAAAACGGGCACCCTGTATAAAGCAAAATTAGAAAGAAAAAAAAAATACATAAAAGATGGGCCCCTGGGAAAATCCTTGCGGGGGGGCCCCGGATTTGAAGTTACGCCACTGCTCGCAGCTGCTTCAATTTTCATCCAAATTGAACGCATTACGGCTCTGATTAAAGCCAATTATAGCTCTACAAACCCTTTCATTTAGATTTTATTTTAGTTTTAACAGTTTTGCAGCTGAGAAGCTTCAAAAGTCATTTCAATTTCACATCAAAATGAAGACTGGAAATCTTACAAACAACAAAGAAACAAGGTAGTGCAGATAATTAGGTCACAGAAGCAAAGATATTACCATGATCAAATTGATGAAGTTAAACACGATGAAAAAGAGATGTGGAGAACGTTAAAAAATCTTATAAGTGGACCCAAAACTGCTAAAAATAGAGGAGTTATATTCGAGGATCGTATGGAAACGGAGAATACAGAAATTGCAGAAAAATTCAACAACTATTTCTTAGATAGTATTCGAGTCCTGTCCACAGATACAGAGCAAAGAGTAACAAGTTTGATATTAGATAACATTGTAACACCTGTAAATAAATTTGAGCAGTTCAATTTGCTGGAAATGAGGGAATTGAAAAATATAGTGAATAACTTGAAAAATAAAAAAAGTAGTGTGGATGGTATCAACGTCAAGATACTGAAGGCAGCATTTGAGTCAATTGGCAATCGGTTTCTCCAGCTTATCAACTCCAGTTTGGCAACAGGTAGTTTTCCCAAAGATTGGAAACTGTCAACTATAGTTCCCATCGAAAAAATAAGAAACACAAACAAATGCGAGGAATATCGACCTATCAACATGGTGCCAACATATGAGAAGCTTTTGGAAACAGTTGTAAATAAACAAATGAGGAAGTATATTGAGGACAACAAATTGCTTACCGAATTTCAAGCTGGTTTCAGAAAAAAACATTCTTGTGAAAGTGCTCTACAGACTGTCATCTCCAGATGGAAGAACGCGCTGAGTGTGAAGAATATGGTTGGGGTTGTCTTTTTAGATTTTCGAAGAGCGTTTGAGACTATAAATCGTAGTCTTCTTAAACAAAAGTTGGAAAAAAATGGTTTTCAAGGAACGGTCCTTAAGTGGTTCACAGAATATCTGGACTCTAGAACGCAGCAGATAAAATATCACAATGCCATCTCATCAGTGAAAGTAAACAGGTATGGTGTACCACAGGGAAAAGTTATGGGTCCGGACCTTTTTGTATTGTACATAAACGATATTGTCAGAGTAGTTAAACATTGTGAATTGCAACTTTTCACAGATGATACCGTCTTATTCTTCCAAAGTGACAATATGGACAACTTAATAAAATTAATTAATGAAGATTTAGGTAGGCTATATAAATGGCTGTGTGATAATAGTTTAAGTGTTAATATCAAAAAAACTAAGTTCATGTTATTAAAAAACAAGAATTATAGTACAGATATCAACTCTCATAGTAATGTATTTATAAATGGTGTAGAGGTAGACAAGGTTAAAGAATTCAAGTATTTAGGAGTAGTTATTGATGAGTTTCTAACATTCTCTAGTCATGCGAGGTATCTGATTAAGAAAATATCAAAAAAAATATATTTTCTGTGTAGAATAGGTCGAGACCTAAGTGGTTGGACTAAATTAATTATTTATAAAACAATAATACTACCACATTTCAACTACTGTGCTTCCATTACGTACATGTTTGCCAAATCTGACTTAGACATACTGCAGATAAAACAAAACATAGCTTTAAGATGTATTTTAGGCTCTAATAGGTACACAAGAATAAAAGACATGCTGAAGTCGACAAATTTATTAAGTGTAAGACAGAATATTTATTTTTGTACCATGATAGTAGCTTATAAGATAAAAAATGGTTTGTATCCAGAACATATATTACATAGGTTGGTGCAATTTGTCTCTGATATTCATAATTATAATACTAGAAGTAAATTTGATTTTTATGTTCCGACTGTCCAGTCTTCCTTCGCACAGAATAGCTTGTTTCATAAAGGATTAGTAGAGTTTAACAATCTTCCTAGTGATATTAAGAATGAAAGTTTCGCTACATTTAAGGTTAGGTTAAGAGAATTTATTGTTGAAAACTAAAATAGTGTTTAAATACTGAATATTTTGTTAATGTAATGATGTATTTTTGTTGTTGTTTGTTAGCTGATGCTATTAATAAATGCTATTATTATTATTTATTGAACATTAAAAATTTTCCAACTATGGAACTGAGACAGTTTTTGCCTCACAGCTCCGTTAATTTTCATTGGATTTCAACGTAATTAAGCTCTAATTAAAGCCAATTAAATTCTCTGCGAACCTGTTGATTAAGATTTTAATTTTGTTCCTACAGTTTTGCACCTGAAAGCTTCAAAATTGAATTTATCAAACATTGAAAATTTTCCAAAAATGACATTGAGACAGTTTTTATATCACAGCTCCGTTAATTTTCATCCTATTTCAACGTAGTTAGGCTCTAATTAGAGCCAATTAAATTTTTTACAAACCTGTTAATTAAGATTTTAATTTGATCTCAGCAGTTTTGCACCTGAGAAGCTTCAAAATTGATATTATCGAACATTGAACATTTTCCAAAAATGATACTGAGACAGTTTTTGTCTCATGGCTCCGTTAATTTTTTCATCCGATTTTAACGCAATCAGGCTCTTATTAGAGCCAATCAAATTCTCTACAAACCTTTTAATTAAGATTTGAATTTAGTTTCAACAATTTTGCAGCTGAGAAGCTTCAAAATTGAAATTATTGAACATTGAAAATTTTCCAACAATGGAACTGAGACAGTTTTTGCCTCACAGCTCCGTTAATTTACATTCGAGTTCAACGTAATCAAGCTCTAATTAAAGCCAATTAAATTCTCTGCAAACCTGTTGATTAAGATTTTAATTTTGTTCCTACAGTTTTGCACCTGAGAAGCTTCAAAATTTAATTTATCGAACATTGAAAATTTTCCAAAAATGACATTGAGACAGTTTTTGTATCACAGCTCCGTTAATTTTCATCCGATTTCAACGTAATTGGGCTCTAATTAAAGCTTAATAAATTCTCTACAAACCTGTTGATTTAGTTTCAATTATTTATTCACTAGTTCATCAGTACAAATTCTTTTAATTTCGTTACTACTAATAGCTATCTTGAGAAAAGTTCCTGTTGATTTTTATTTTTGTATCTAAGAATTATTTGATTAATATTAGTTGACTATTTTTTCTTTGGATTTTTATTCTGTTTAATGTAGATGAGAAAAATGTGATTAGGTATTCACACTAGAATTTCGATATGAGTGGATTTTCGACACAAAAAGCCCAAAGCTCACTGGGTTTTAATCAATATTGATGATGGGGTTTTGTGTCAAAAACCAACTGGGTTTTTGGTTTTTGTGTATTCAAACTCTGTTACTAGATTTTCATAAAGAGAACTTCCATGTTTTTCCATACTGCCACGAGTCATCATTATCAATAAGATTGTAGTCTCTCTCTAGGCTTTTTCGTAATCGCTCTTCATTTTCCTCACTTGCCTCATCACCATCATTGGTATCAATATTACTTGAAATCATTGGAGAAATCCTGGGTCCTTAATGAAGAGATGAAAATATTTTGTTTTTAAACTATCTTGTGAGAATAACAAACACCCTATAGGTAAAGTAGTAAAACTCGTAGTAAAAACAACTACTTTATAGAACCTGGGAAGTTTTAGTACTTAGGTAGGTACTATGCGAGCTAATATGTTTGCATATTAGCTTTGACAAAAACCTGAGCAATCCCACAAAAACCTGAGCAATCCCCCAAAATTCAATTCTATTTCAAATTTTAAAAAATCAATAGAAAAATAATAGGTATAAGTACACACTATTTGTAAATGGTTTACGTATGCACATATTACCTCAAATATTACCCAAAATTGCACAATTAATTGTGAAAAGTTGCATAAAACCTATTTATTCTCTACTTAAATGATTTACATCAAAATACTCTCATTTTTCAAGCATCAAAGGTCATGCTGATAACATAAATCTAATATCATTTGAAAAAATTTGGAAAATCAACTACAATGTAGTAAATAGCGTAAAACACATCAAGAGGCTTGATGTGTTTTATGCTATTTAGTTTTGATTCAAGACCAAATACCTATTCATATAACAATAATAATTCATTTTTCCCATTTCTTTAACTTTTTCCTTTTCCGTATAAATTGAACTTGTTCCAACGATATTGCAGTGACACAGTTCATATTTATATTATAACTGACAGGAAATTTGTTTCAATCATTTTAAGTAATTTTCCAATGTCCATAGAAGTTGATGTCTTATAGGTATTGATCTGGAATATCAACTTCGCTTTTTTTTATACGTAATTACATCTTATTCTTGAGAGGGTGTTTTAAAATAATCACAATTGCGCAATGCATATATTTCTTTCATTATTTGCGTTATCAGAAGTACTAAGTTAATTAATTTCAATTAACTCATCAGATGCTCCAACAAGTATGCTTAAAAAAATACAAATCGATGAGGATTAATATTTAATTTCCCGTTTCGAATCAAGGACAAATTTATTTAAAAATAAATTGTCAGGCATAAATAAACTTTTGGTTTTTGTGAATGAAGGTTGAACAAATATATCAACAGAATTAAATTAAATAATTATTACATATTATACAAACAAGTATCTTCTTTGGCTTCAAGACCCATTACTTCTATTTTATTTGCTAGGAGTCATTTTGTTGTTATTAGCAGCACAAAAAAAAATCCAACAAAACTAAACCTGTTCTATTTATTTCAAACTAAACATAGTCTAAGCATATTTTTTTTCCAGGCCCTAACCGCAGTTCTAATCCACTACAACAAAAAATATGGTATCCGGACTTCAGGACTTCTATTCCTATTTTGGTTCCTGCTATCTCTATTTGGTGCGGCACAGTTTCGGACAGAAATTCGCGCAGTACAAAGAGATGGAGTCCCAGATTCATATTACCAATACGTCAGTTACCTGATCTACTACCCTTTGGTGTTGCTGATGTTTTTGTTGAATTGTTTTGCTGATCAGCCGCCACAAGTGACTAGGTATCCAAAAACACGGGTAAGAATAATAATTATTGATATGCCTATAATTAATTTCGATCATCAAATTTAGGATTTTTCATGTCAAGTAGGTTTATTCATATTGAATGGTTATATTAATTTTTCAGTTAACCCGTAAATACTTAAGTTGGTATTAGAATAAAATTTTGTAATTCATCATGTTACGCAAGAAGACTCATTATAATCATCATTATCCCGATTTGCTTATTTAACAACAAGGTTGTATTTATCTTGAGGCTAAATAAACACCTATTACGTCATACAATTTTTTGAAAAAACGGAAATAATTAAATTGCTGTCTCACTGTAACTCTCTTCCAAATTTGGCATAAACATTTTCTCTATTATTCCTTGTTGTTTTTTTTTCTTCTGTACCACCTCGGACTTTCTTTGAAATTGAATTCCCCATACATCCATAGATGTTCCCAAACTTCCCAGGAAATCCTGAAAGTTGAATCAGATTGTTTTTACAGTATGTTTATGTTTATTTTTTATTTTATTGATTGTACCTCTTTTTTTTTATAACCCAATAATTTTTAATTACTTGCACATTATTTAAGATCATGCTTTGTCAATGAAATTTATTTTCCGACAATAAAGTATATTTTGATTGATTTGATTGATTGATTGATTCATGAATTTTTAAAATCTTTGACGTTTAATTTCAATTCTTTTCAAATGTGAGTACACATTTAAAATATATCATGGAATTCAAGTAATTCGGAAAACAAATTGGCACTGCCAGAAAAAATCCTGTCCGGCGATTTTGTTAAACTATCTCAAGGCTTTGAGCGCCATCCTAAGACACTTTCCAGGTATAATTTTGATTTTATTTTGCTCAATTGCCAAACATCCACTTGTTATCATACAAAAACATTTTATTTTCACACAATTTAGTTCGTTCTTCCTTTATTGAAGGTGTCTGACTGATTGTTCTCATTATATTGAATCCAGCTTTTTGTCTGGCATTTTACATAAATTTGTGAAATTTTGCTTTAACTGGTAAAATTATACATACATATGTAAAATAAACTCATTATCACCTAGTTTTTTCAAAGGTTTCCCAGTTACTTGTTCCTGGATAAAATATTTCTTCTAGAAATTGTCCTATTGCTTGATATCGAGGGAGAACACTTTATCTCTCCCTGTTCGTAAGTATAAAGTAAACCAAAATTTCCTGAAAATAATGCAGCAATTCGGTAGTAAAGCAAACAATTAATATACATAATATGACTATGATAATAAGTATTAACATATTAAAATTCTGTGTGTTCAGGATTTTAAAAGGTAGATACTTGATTTTGTTGAGAGTTTTGCAATTTAAATTGAACAGCATTTGAAGCAAAGCTTATATAATTATATAAAAAAATTTAATTTCCCTTAGTTCAACAAAGCTAACATTTTGTTTCCTGGATCATCAATCACATAAAGTTATGAAAAATACATCATAATTTTAGTTTTGCATTCTCCAACCCAATTCGGTTAGTTTCTCGAACTTGGGGTCTCTCTTTTATTACTTTTTTATTGACCGAAATTATGTGTAAGGTGTTGCATAACGAATAATGAATCATTATTCAATTAGCCTTATCCGCATTATCGAAGCAATAATTTTTAGCATATTTGTTTTTAATGACACGCATAATTGTTGCGTTATATTTTCAAATTTAATGTTAAATCCAAATTAAGCGCATCCCACTAGATTGGCTTTTGAGAGCAGTATCAGCAATGACGCTTCAAAATTTGTGATCATCCGTTGCCTTGCAATTGAAAAATAAAAATTTTAACATATAATTTATCTGATAAACGTCCTTTGAATTATTGTTTTTTTACTGCGTGAAAGTAATCATCGAAATCCTGATACTTTTCAAACTGTTTTAACCTCATGCGCATTTTTTTCCATCAAAGCAAATATTAAATATGCTTGTATTCGAGCGAATTTTTATTTTAATATTCTAAAGCGCTCTTCGTTCCGTTGGTAAACAGGTATGATTATGCAAAACCACTGTTAGAATTGTCTTTGGTTTGTGAATACTTGTCTTCTGGCGTTTATAATACTTTCAGTGGGGAACTACTGAAATACCAGTTTACGTCACGTTGCCAATATAATTTTTTTTCTATGTTTGACTCATCCACGAACATATAGCTAATAGTTTAGTAATTTATAATAATTATTGTTGGAGGGAGCCCTATAATATTGAATAGAAGAAATCAATCTCATAATCACAATTAGCAAGAAATAGGAAATTAATTGCAGAGTTCCTTTTCATTAAGGATGTAACACTTAATCATCAAGATAAAACTGAACGGTACTTTATGATGTCACCAGAGAGACCAAAAATCAATTGGTTTTTCAAGGCTTAACCACAACCAAGTCAGGGGGCCAGGGGTTAGGCAGGTAGAATATTTAACTAAAATAAATATTCATTGTTGAAGAAGATGTTTTTGGTTACCACTTGTTGTTCAAGCAGTATTTATAATATTATTTAATGCCAAATAAAAAATTGCATTTCAATAGATCAATTTATTATAGCTTTTAGTAGAGGCAATCTTCCATTTGATTCAAATGGTATTTAGGTAAATATTCTTATCGTTTTTTATTTTAATAGTGTTATTTTGGTACATTTCAAGGATATCTACTTGGGAAATCTTAATTTTAAATCAGGAACCTCATCAGGTTTTTATAATCGATCTATCTTTTGGATTTTGGTTTAAATTATAGTACTTAGGTCTGTCCTAACATTTCAACAGCAAGTACATTTTTGTCTAGTCATATTGATGACGCTATAAACGGAGATACATGGGAAAGTACTTACTGATAATTGCGTTAGATAATATTTATCAATTTTTCTGTAACTTGGTTCCTAGTGATTCAGATAAACAGAAAGTTCATCAAATTAAACATGTGCTAGAAATAATAATTGCCAATGATAATAGTCTCAGAACAAAGAAAAAACTACATACTAAGCAAATAAGAAAGCATCTCTCAAGGCGACTGTTTTTAATTTTGCACCTGATTAAAATCTTTATCAAACAGTCCTGCGCTGTTGTTTTGTTACCCCGGAATTTAAGTTTGAAGAGGAGAAATATTGTAATGAAAACGAAAAAGACATAATCCTTATATCCATATTAATTATAAGGGGTGTAAGTGTAAAGCACACGGCTACAAAGAACGATTATTAATTACTCATAGTCATTATTGCAACAAAAAATGCAAAGAAATATAGCTGGCCTGGCATATTTTCAAATAATCTTTTTTGTTGGGATGATGGTTTAAAGAAATTTCTTATATTCCTATTAATACCAAATGATTCTTGCAACAAATTATTAATTGTAAGCGTTTAAAATCAATGGGTCTTTAAAACCAGTTTTCCCAATCAATATAATGCATTATTTGTATTCTATTATATTCAAGTTGCCCTGAATTAGGTCAACACCATGTGGTATTTTAATCAGTAAATGGATCTGTGAGTTAAAATAAATGATGTTTGTTTTATTAACTTCCTGAAAGATGATATTCGCTAAGTGCTAATTAATTGACATAATTGGGATGGTTGAGTTTTTCCACTTAGTGTTTCAAGTATATTGAACAAATAATTTCATGTTTTTATTAGATTGAATATCACTTGAAATCTATTGGAAAAATGAGCTCAGTGAGAGACTTTGTCCCTCACTTGATTTCAATTTTTTTTTTATTAATAGATATGTATGTATTGATAAGGATGATCTCGTTTTCTAGTGAGGGTGTGAAATCTATATGATGATATGAAGAAAATAAAAAATGCCATATCACGCAACAACCAGTTCGGTTATGCATTTAAAAAATATAGTGGCTCGATTTAATAAATCAGGTTCAATATTTTTTTCTAGAACCCATGCCCAGAAGATGGAGCCAGCTTTCTATCCCGAATATTATTTGCATGGTTCGATCGCATGTCATGGAAGGGCTTCAGAAACCCTCTGGAAACAAAAGATTTGTGGGATTTGAATCCCGCCGACTCTTCAGCCGAAGTAGTGCCTATTTTTGAGAAACATTGGCAAAATACATTGAAAAAATGCATAGGGTAATAGTTTGCACCTGAATTTATTATTCATGTTACATACTCATTATTTAATAGGGTGCCAACACATGCGAGAGCCCAAATCAAGGGCGATTCTGGTCAAATAGAGTTCATACAAAGCAAGAAGAAAGAAGCATCAGTCTTGCCAGCGTTACTTAAGTCTTTTGGGGCAATGTTTCTATTTGGTTCTTCTTTGAAGTTTGTTCAGGATGTTATGATGTTTGTCAGCCCTCAAATATTAGGGTAAGTAATTGAAATTAATTAAAAACCAAACATCTTGATCAATCAATATATTCGTTATATTCAGCTATTCAATTTCCCCCAATTTAAGCCTATTAGGTATTTATAAGTTCTAAATAGTTTGATTAAACTGTTTGAAACAGTATACTGACCCGAAATTAGTCTAATTCAAATGAGAATAATAATTTGGTACGTTTTTTCCGAGATTCAAACTATAAATTCTTCTTCTGATCCTAAAAATTTCAAAATTTTCCTTTTACTAGTTTTCCGGAAAAAAATTAGAATGTAAGAAATTGCATTTTTTAAAATTCAAACTATGAAAGTTGATTTTAAGGAAATTCTTGTTATGATTGTCAATTGGGGAAATCTGGAATTTTAGTATGATGAGCTCCTATCTATCTTCTTTTAATTCTAAATATTTCAAAATTTTCCCTTTACTAGTTTCTCAGAAAAAAAAATTAAAATGTAAGAGATTGCATTTTTTAAAATTCAAACTATGAAAGTTGATTTTTGGGAATTTCTCACGTTATGATTTTCTATTGGGGAAATCTGAAATTTTAGTATAATGAGCTCCTATTTATCTTCTTTTAATCCTAAAAATTTCAAAATTTTTCTTTCACAAGTTTTTCAGAAAAAAATTAAAATGTAAGAAGATGCATTTTTTTAAATTCAAACTATCAAAGTTGATTTTTAGGAACTTCCGATGTTATGATTTTCCATTGGGGAAATCTGAATTTTTAGTATGATGAGCTCCTATTTATGTTCTTTTGATCCTAAAAATTTCAAATTTTTTCCTCTACTAGTTTTTCAGAAAAAATTTAAAATCTAAGAGGATGCATTTTTTTTTAAAAATTCAAACCGAGGTTTTTTCTTTTATAAATTTCAATAATCATTGCTGCTGTGAATCCATTATATGTTTTTTTTGTCTTTTTTCTGCTTTCATTCAGGGTTCTACTAAGTCTGATTTATGCATATAAATAGGTAAAGATAAGTGATTGAAATTAGCTTACCTCAATAAGTTGGGGAAACCTTCATAAGGTTGAAGATTCCACAAACGAGTAAGCGGCACAATAAAAATTAAATACAATTTTCAAATCATTTCAGAATTTTTATTTTGCCGCTTACTAGGTTAAGTCACTAACAAATATTTTGCACTTGTGGTATAGACTTCTAGAGAGTCCATAAGAACAATAGTTAGTCACATTATTTGTAAAAATTTATCACTCTCTTTCAGATGGATCATTACTTTTGTCAAACATCCAGAGCACTATTGGAAAGGTCCATTCTATGCAATACTTATGTTTTTAACTGCCACCATACAGACTCTAATTTTGGCGCAGTACTTCAACAGAATGTTTATAGTTGGCATGAGAATTAGAACAGCTCTAGTGTCGACTATTTACAGGAAATCTTTGAAAATCTCGAATAAAGCTCGAAAAGAAAGAACAGCAGGTAAATAAACTTTTTTGATACTAGAATTGTCATATTTTTCGCCAATTGAATACTTATTATTTAATTTGACATTTGCGCAGAGATGACTCATTTTTACAAGACAAAATTGTTCTGTGGTTATGAAAGGACCCTGCACCAGATGCATGGGATTTTGGATTTCAGTGAAAATCTGTGAAATTTCCAAATTTTCTATAACTTAACATGCTGATTAAAAGTCCAAATGGGAAAAATTTCGTAACCCCCATATTATGCCTTTTATAGGTTCTCTTATACATAACGTTTATTGATTGATATGTGATTTGTTTATTATTTTGGTGTTTGTATTTGTTTTTTGAAGTTCTTGTTTAATGGCTGATGCGGTACAGTGTAATAATTGCTAGAAAGGGCGATAAGATAACAGAATGAAGTGGGAAGCCGATTTATCGTAAAAATTGCAATACCTGCGCATCCGCCAAATCGATAGCAATACCCAAAAATTTGCTCAGCTGCATCTAAATAACATATTGGACCTACCTGACCCTAACACACACTTAAAAAAACAAGCTGTAAAAAACAAAAGCAAATAGGTACACCAAAATAATAAATAAATCAATCAGTAAACGTTCTGTATAGATTACAAAGGGCCTGGAATAGGAGAGCCTATAAACGGCATACTATGAGGGTTACCCAATTTTTGTCATTTGGACTTTTAATCAGCACGTTAATTTATACAAAATTTGAAAATTTCACAGATTTTCACCGAAACCCAAAATCCCATGCATCCAGTGCGGAGTCCTTTGCTTTGCACATGGAATTTATCTTTATTTTCAGTATGATTGTATAGTAGTTGCCATAATTTAATACTCGAAATGTAATCTTTTTGGGAAAATGCAACAAAAACATATTTTTGAAAAGCTATGGATTTTGTACTATCGATTTTGTTTTTGCTTTAAAACATTGTTGATTTCAATAGACTTGTGTCTAGAAAAATCTATTACAAATCAGAGATCAAATTATGGTAGGTACTGAACGCTTTCATTCATTTTTGCCTACATCCTGAATACAGCTTTGCACAAGCAGAGCTGGGCAATAATTGAGTAAATTCATTATTAAGAATGTCATCGGACTCATTTATCCCTAAGGAACCCGATACTTTTCTTATAAAAAAGCACTTCAAATTTTGACTTATATTTTAATTAACACATTGCATGCTGCGTCGGGCATAACTGCCCGACAGTGATGTTTCCGTTCAGGCCACGTCAGACATACAGGGTGACAATTTGAAAAGTAGGAATTGGGAATATTTCTTAGACAAAAAATACTATCAGGAAGATCTCAAATACCTATTGGTGGATTGGAGGGGGAACCAAAATGGAGCACAAAATACCTTTGCAGATATTTTGTGCATGACTCTACATCTTAATTTGTCTCCAGGAAGCGTAGACTTCTGCCGAAGGAAGCTATTTTCCTGGGTGTCAGTTGGCCCACTTCTTCTGGTGACAGTGTTGCCCCCTCGAGGAATTTGAGCCTCTTGCAGAATTGGGCTGGACATTCGCAGAGCAGGTGCTCTGCGGTTTCTATTGCGTCTGAGCAGAATCTGCAGAGATCGTCTTCCGCTCTGCCCATTAACCTTAAATAGTATTTTACTGGGCAGTGTCCTGTGAGCAGTCCCACCACCAATCTGATGTCTGGTCTGCTCATGTTTAGGAGCTGTTCAGCTCTTTTTGCTGAAAGGGTAATAAACCTTTTTGACTGTCTGAGTCCCTGAGTGTGCCTCCAATATGATGACAGTTGGTCTTTCTCCCATTTATTGAGTTCTTCCATTAACCCACAGTAGGGCTCTGGTCCATGGTATGGTGTTGAGGCTCCTTCCTTTGCGAGGCCATCTGCTTCTTCGTTTCCTTCTATGCCTCGATGACCAGGCAGCCACATCAGAGTTACCTGGCTATGTGTCGCTAGTGTTTTTAGGGTGTGTTTACACTCCCAGACTAGTTTTGACATGCATTTGAAAGCCCTTAAGGCATTTAAGGCAGCTTGGCTGTCCGATAGTATGAAGATGTGTTTTCTTTTGAGGCTTTGGTTAAGACACTCTTGTGCACATATATCTATGGCAAGCAGTTCGGCTTGAAATATTGTAAGATGTTTACCCAATGCCTTGGAGAGCTTGAAGTTAGGGCCGGAAATGCCCAGTCCAGCTCCTTCCATTAGCTTGAATCCATCTGTGTACCACAGCGATGCATTGTCTGCTTGTGGCAATTCTTTATTCTCCCATGATTGGCGGTCGTTTATTACCACTGCGAAGGGGATCTCTAAGTCCAATCTGACCATCATGTGGTCACTTGGTTTGCTGGCATTCTCCAGTTTTATTAGATCAAGGATTCTCAGATGTCCCCTCAGATCGCCAGGCTTGAACTTGTCTATTTGGAATAGCCTGTGAGCGCTGGTCATTGCCTTCTTTTTCACACATAGGTGAAGTGGGGGCATGTTGAGTAGCGTCTCTAGGGCTGCGGTGGGGCAAGTTGACATTGCTCCCGTTATTCCTAGACATATCAGCCTTTGCACCTTTCTTAGCTTGATCTGAGCGGTGACTTGTTGGGCTTTGGGCCACCACACCAATGAGGCGTATGTGACCATGGGCTTTATTATAGTTTGGTAGATCCAGAATACCATCTTTGGCTTTAGCCCCCATGTTTTGCCAACAAGTTTTCGGCATGACCAAATGGCTGATGTAGCTCGAGAGCATGTTTTCTCTAACTGTTTGTTCCAAGTGAAGGTTCGGTCCAGGGTGACCCCTAAGTACTTCACAGTAGTAGCAGTAGTAGTACTCTACTTTACTGAACTCTCTATCGTTTAGGGTTTTTAATGTTGACCAAATTTCAACTTTGAAGCTCAATATCCTGGAAACTTCACAAGTTACTAAAACCAATTTTGCAGGGCTTATAGAGAATTTAATACTTTTTTTAATGATGCATGATTGTAGGCAATTTTCTCAAATATCATTGAAGGTATGAGCAATTATTCATGTCAAGCATGTCAAGATTCCAAAAAATGTTCAGACCCAAAAATTAGATTTCCTTTTTGGATTTTTTTTCTCTTCGAAATTTTTAAATGTTACTGATGTAAGAATTGTTTCTGACTAATTTGGACTCGCTCTATCGATTTAAAAAGTCAGAATTGACAAAAATCCAAAAATAAAAATTTTCAATTTTTGGTACTTTTTCCTAAGGGTTTTTTCTTTGAATTTTATTTTGCAAATCTTCAAACCTGGATATCTTGGTAACCAAAAGCGGTACTGGGACAAAATTATCTTCAATTGTAGCTGTCAATAAAAACTTCAGGATGGTGGTTCGCTGAAATCGCTAGCATTCACGGTTTTTGAGAAAATCGAGTTTACACTTTTGGGCAAAATGTCAACTAAATTTCAACTTTGAAGCTCAGTATCTCAGAAGCTCCACAAGTGACAGTAACTAATTTTGCACTGCTCATAGAGAATTTAATACTCTTTTCAATGATGTATAATTGTAGGCAATTTTCTCAAATATCATGAAAGATATGCCACTCAAATAATGATCATTCTTAAAAGGTTTTTCATCACATTTTCGAAACAATCTGAAATTGGCGTTTTGTGCATTTCAGCAATTAAAGATGGAAGGATTTGTTTATCTCAATATTATTATACCTAATTGATGAATCATCATCAACTAATCGTGCGATTCAAGATTTTGCTATAAGACTGTAAAAGGAAAGCAACGAGCTATCCAACGATGTGCAACACAAGGTAGGTTCGTATTTGAAAAAAATAAGTTAGGGTAGCTTCCTCCCAACAGGAGAGGCGGGGTGAATCAAAAAGTGCCTCATTTTGGTTCCCCTCCAATCCCCCGGTAAGTATTTGAGATCTTCCTGATAGTAGTTTTTGTCTAAGAGATATTCTTGATTGCTACTTTTCAAATTGTCACCCTGTATATGCTTGACGAACACATAGAAAAAATCGTGGGGAAAGCTGAAAACAAACAATAAAATAATATAATCAATATAATCTATCATTTCAGCCACTTTTTGATAAAAATTAAGAGAAAAACACGCGTGGCCTCTTGCGATATTTTCTCAACATAGCCGTGGCATGCAATATGTTAAATGGATTCGCAACATCTCAATAGTGTAGTTTGAAGCTACCTATAAAGTTTATAAGGGATATCACATTTGGATTGGGAACTTACTTGAAAAAACTACATTATAATTACTTATCAAAGAACTTATTTCGATCCGTGTACTTTTTTGTGATTGTCAATGGTTAAATTGATTCATCAGAACTTCTGCAATCAGTCAACGAGCTGATTAATTTAGTTTTCATTAGTGGGTATAGTTTGAGGTCATTCGACGAACTTTTCTTTTATTAATAATTATTGCAAATTTTATCCTTAAACGGGTGAGTACTAGATGTCGTGATACATGTATTTCTGTTTTCTCCAACCCTCAGGTGAAATAGTTAATCTCATGTCAGTAGACGCCCAAAAATTCATGGATCTTACTGCGTACTTAAACATGATCTGGTCCGCACCACTACAAATCTGCCTGTCCATGTACTTCTTGTGGCAAGAATTAGGGCCCTCAGTCCTAGCAGGTTTGGCCGTTATGATATTCCTGATTCCTATCAACGGATTCATAGCCAACAAATCCAAGACGTTGCAAATCAAACAAATGAAAAATAAGGACGAGCGTGTCAAATTGATGAACGAAGTTTTGAGCGGAATTAAAGTTTTGAAATTGTACGCTTGGGAGCCTAGTTTTGAAGCTCATGTACTTAAAATAAGAGACAAAGAAATTAAAGTTTTGAAGGAGGCGGCTTATTTGAATGCTGGTACTTCGTTTATATGGTCTTGTGCACCGTTTTTGGTAAGTGATTTTGGATATCTTTTTGAAATAATTTCAAGTATTTCTCGTAAGAAATAATTTTTCAGTGAATGATTCGATTAATGAACCTAGATGCAATTTATTAGTTTGAAATCTTATAATTTTATATCCACAGGCTGTACAAGAAATACTGTAGTAACAAAACTCACCAAATTAAAAAAAGTTCCTAGGAACATAGTCTAAATTGCATATCAACAGCTTTTTAAAGAATGGATCAAAAATAATGTGACTGAGTTTTTGCAGTTTCTTCACCATTTTGGGAACAATGGTGGGCTGGCAACTCAGAACGAGATATGCGTTAAAAACTAATCCAAAACAATAATGACTTACATAATATTATATAAATAAGCTGCTCTCACGATACCTATCCGTAGAAACAAACGGACTTTCATACAGCCACTTCTTTCATATTTTGGCAACTTATACTGTCGCCTTTGAGACAATATTGTTCATAGGTATCTACATGAAGACTTTTTGGCAAAACATTTTTTTTGTCGAATTGTTCTGTACTGGAGGTGCAACATTATACAACGTCTTGCATTATTATATAGAAGATTTTAATATTACATACAATAATGATGTTTAAACTACTTAGGTCGTCCTCGCCACATTTGTATCCTTCATATTTAGCGACAAGGCGCACGTCCTCACTCCTCAGATAACCTTCAAATCTTTAAGCCTTTTCAGTATTATGAGTATGCCAATGGGACTGCTGCCGATCCTGTTGATTTACGTCGTGGAGGTAAATCTGGTCTCTTGAGTTAGGAAGAACCATGCTCATACTAATGCATATTTCCCCTCTTAACGCAAATCATATTATTTTCAGATATGGAGGTGGCTGTACCGATTTTTCTTTTTAATAAAATCTTTATTGGTTCATGGTACACTATAGAAAAATGTTTCACAAATTTATGATGCAAATTTATTACAAAAGTGAAACATTTGATTTAATAAATCAGTAACAACATTTTCAAGCACAAACATAAAAAGTAATACATTAGTTTTAGTTTTCGTCTTTTTCTATTGCATGTCCTAGGTGTCGCTGGTCAGTTTCGCTACTTATGTATTAGTGGATGAAAAAAATGTACTAGACGCAAGCAAAGCATACGTTTCTATCTCGCTTTTCAATATTTTAAGGTTCCCGCTCAGTATGTTGCCCATGATGATTTCCAATATGGTTCAAGTAAGCACCTTTTTAACCTATCATTATTTCCGGAATAATATTTTGTCTTTCTGTTGCTTGAGATGTTTGAAATGTTGAATAAGACAAAATGTTTTTCCTAGAGTACTTGGTTTTTTTAACTTTTGGCAAAGAACAACTTTCGAAAACTTTAGAATGGTTGACTCTTAGCTATTTCATGCTTTAAGTTCATTCTTCTTCTATTTTTTCTTACTTTTTCATGCATGTAAATTGATTTTATTTTCAAGTTACTATGGCAAATAATACCTGCATCAAAATGTATTGACAAATATTTAAAAACGCTGAAACCCATTTTGCTGCAAATTATTTGTCATCCATTAAACTTTGAGGCTCTAACGCATTTTAATTCTAGACATACGTATCAGTCAAGAGAATAAACACCTTTATGAATGCAGACGAATTGGATCCTAATAATGTCAGCCATGATGCTACTGAAGGTAAGATTTTACATAAGAGTTTTAGAATGTTTTTAAAACACCAACGTACAGCAGATTTTTAACGAGTAGCTGTAGAAAATCCTAATTTTAATAAACATATCAGCTTTTTTATTCCATTTATTCATCATTGATGGTTTGCAAAATTCCTCCAAAGGGAATTCCTTTCTGGAATTAATATTATTGATTTTTCAGTTGATCCCTTGGTAATCGAAAACGGCAACTTCTCTTGGGGCGAAGACCCGATTTTGAGAAATATTAACATACGAATTGCTTCCAAGACTTTAACGGCTGTAGTTGGGTCCGTCGGTTCCGGCAAGAGTAGTTTAGTGTCTGCGTTTTTGGGAGAAATGGAAAAAGTGTCAGGATGGGTCAACACTTATGGTTCTGTAGCGTACGTTTCCCAACAGGCCTGGATTCAAAACGCGACGCTCAAAGACAACATTACTTTTGGAAAAGCCTTTGATAGGGCCTTATATGAAAAAGTAATTGAAGCTTGCGCACTCAAGCCTGACTTCGATATGCTTCCTGGTGGCGATCAAACGGAAATTGGTGAAAAAGGTTTGTATAGGAAAATAAATTCTTCAAAATTTTTAAACGCCTATTTTAATTTAGGTATTAATTTATCTGGTGGTCAAAAACAACGTGTCAGCTTAGCTAGAGCTGTGTATGCCGACGCAGAAATTTATTATTTGGATGATCCCCTTAGCGCTGTAGATTCTCATGTTGGGAAGCATATTTTTGAACAAGTTTTGGGGCCAAAAGGATTGCTGAAGAATAAAACCAGAGTACTCGTTACACACGGAATCACTTATTTGCCACAAACAGATAAAATATTTGTGCTTAAAAATGGAGAGATTTCAGAGAGCGGTTCCTATCAACAATTGCTGGATAAAAAGGGATCTTTTGCTGAATTTTTGATACAACATATCCAGGAACAAGATGAAAGTGAAGAAGGTATTTTTCTAAAATATTTAGATGTATAATTCTATAAATTCCTTGAGAACAAATTAACAATCTATTTTCCCCTTTTATAGCTCGTCGAATAAATCGCAAAAACTCTACCACCCCTGGTATGTAATTGTAAAGGGTTGATTTGAAGAGGTTATAATATTTTTTATTGATGTTTTTGTTTTTTTGGCGTGTAATTTTATGTTTTTTTTTTTATGTAACAATATTCGTAATGTGGAACATTATAAAGTCAATAACATACATCCTTTAGGTTTAATGCTTAGCTTGCCATTTTTTAAAGTGTCATTATAATACACACATGAATTTAAATATAATCCATTTAAACAACAAATCGAGATCCTACTCATGGAAAACTTAATACTAATAAGCATGGGTAAACAAAATCTTCATTTTCATTTATTTTTTGTTGAATGAATTTTGCTAAAAATGTAGTCAGAATTAAATGGCATGATTATAGAGGCAATCTTGATCAAGTATAAATCCATAATAAATGGAAAACTGACCTCAAGTCGGAAACACTTCCCATAGTCTCCATGTTTATCATCATTAACTTTTTAGTGCTTGAATATTGCAGAGAATTTTAAACTTATTCTGTAAATTTTTAAACAGAAATAATGAATTTTGTATTTCCTTTACAGAATTGGACGAACTTAAAACACAACTGGCGTCTCAAATCGGCGAAGATTTGTCTAAGCAATTAGTGAGGAAGCGATCTCGTGTATCAGAATCAAAGTCTGATACTGGTTCTTGTACAGTACTAAATGGATCTTTACAAAGGCAAAAATCGGTGGATAGCGCAAAAAGTATTCGAAGAGACTCTAAAGACAAGAACGGTCCAATAGTAGGCGAGAAACTTATTGAAGTTGAAAAATCAGAGACCGGTAGTGTTAGTTGGCAAGTTTACAAACATTATCTGATGTCTATTGGAATTCTCATTGTGGTTATGACTGTAATATTAAATATGGCATTCCAAGCTTTCAGTATAGGCTCCAATGTTTGGTTAGGTAAGTTGGTACAAAGAGAATTTTTTAAATATTATTATTCTCTGTTTTAAGGTCTTTGGTCCGATGATGCTGATATGGTAGACAAGAACGGTACAGTAAATAAAGCAAAAAGAGATTTATATCTAGGGGTCTATGGAGCTTTGGGTATAGGGCAAGGTAAGTTTATATTCTAATTCCCTTTTTTGTAATGGATGGTTATGTTTTGAAAAGTATTATATAGCGAATACTTTAGTTAAACATGGAGTTGTTCAATAATGATAATGGATATTATGATATCAACTCAATTACAGTTATTAGAAAGCTTTGATTTCGTTCCAAAGAAACGCAAGAACATTTAGAACATTCTTTTTTTACTCTCAGAGCTGTGCTAAAGTTCTTGTTTTGTTATCATGTACGGAAGTACAGGATTGTCACTAAAATGGGAACATAATTAATTTTGTTACTGCAAGTTTTTTTTTTTTTTTGCATGCCCAATTTTTTCGCACCCGCTAGACATTATTCTCATTTTGGTATAATTTTTGATAATTTCCTGAAAGGAGAGCCCATTTCATTGGATTCCAAATTTCTAATATACCTGCACTTGGCGATATATATTTGTCAAATACACAAGTTATTAAGGAGATTATGCAATTTTGAAACCGGCTATATCAAACTGATAGACTGTTGAATGGGTTTTGTTTGTTAATCTGTTTACACATCACCCTTGAGCGGGGCAGTACTTTTATACGGACGGAATACCGCATTTTGTGGTATAGTATTGTCACGGCTCTGGGTTGCCTTACAGAAATAAAAATAAAGTAGAATTTGCTAGATTATAGGAATCTGTAATTTCTCGGATTTTCGACAGGCTGGCGGATGCGTAACAGTATAAATAATCCAAGTATAATGACTAGCAATAAAATTGATCTGAATTAAAAATAACTAGTGAATTCAGCTCAATTTACAGTGCGTCATCGTAAAGTAGCTGCAAGACTGCCCAGCTCTGCAAAATAATTTCCAAAAAAAAAAGGCTCTAGGTAGTTCGACAAATATGTTGTTGCAAAATTTATTTTCTATTCTAAAGTCACTTAATTAAAATGCATAGTTGAGTTAATTTTCGTGTTGATTTGGCAGATGTAACAACTTTGTAAAAAGGCCTGGTTGTATAGTCATATCTAACGTAGAGTAAAAGATCGCTTCATACCTGAGATATCAAATATGAATTGCATGATTTTTCATCGCTGCGCTTTTATGAATTTTTTGATTAAAAAAACTTTTTGATGGAGGCTTAGCTTTCTCCTGAGAAATGAGCAAAGAAAAAGGTTAGCTTCAATAATTGTTATCTTGGTAAATAAAATGTTGACTATGTACTTTCACGGTAGTATTTTTCGGATTATTCTTAGATTATTGTTTGGTGAAGCACCTTCAAAATTTTCCTGATAACGGGCCAAAAAAAGGGTAGTTAACCTGTGCCTTGTATGCTCAAGTGAAATTGAACCAAGTTTGCTAGCTGATATAATATTTTCACCAGTGTTTAGAATATGTGTGGCGCTTTAAAGGGACTTGTCTGGCCCCACATTAATAATTATGAAAAAAATATAGTTGGTGCCTGACTTTTGAATTTCACTAAAAAAATCTTATCCAAGATCTGACCAAAATGTTATTGTTGGTCTCTATATCCTGCATCTTCAAAAAATGAATCTCCCAGCATCGCTTGTTTTGCAATTTCTTACCAATATTTATATGATAATCTCATTTTGTATCCCACATAATATTATAAGGTGAGATATTTGAGGTCACACACTTGATTTATGCAATATCCGAATCCCGACTGCGATTCTGTACCTTAGATATGAATATGCGGCCTGGTTCAATGGAAATACAATTTGTTGATAAATTGCCTTACAATTTTTTTTTTCAACTGGGCTTAAGTTTATCAGTTCATTATGTTGAGGTGATAATTATTACATTCATGGAGAATTAATAATGTTTTGGTGGTAGGGGTTTTATTTATATAGTTATTCTTACTATTGGGTTTGGATTACACATAAGTTGAGCCAATCAAAACGATTCACTAGGAGAGCCTCAAATTTCTTATCGGACTTTCGATTTGGTTGTTGTCATGTATGGGAAGGGCTCCAATTTACTATGAGTGATGGATCATTTTAAATGGTGGTTGATTTGAATATTAGTCCCAGTTGAAATGGCTTTTTAATAATATATTTTTCACACCTAACATTATCAAAATTTCGCGCAAATAAAACATTACAGGATATTATAAAATTATTATTCTGTATGCAGTCTAATTGAAACATAACTTCCTTAAGACCTCAAGAATGTATTAAGTTGCTAGGAACTTATTTGCCCTAATATGTTTTTGCGATTTTTCTTTTAATCCTCACATACTTTCTGCAACTCTACTTCTGCTGTTATTTAATATTTTAAAAATTTAGCTGTAGAAAAAATCATTCACAATCATTTTATTTTATCACTTGCTTTTTGGGCTTGGGCTTTTTGTTTTGCTTTTTTTTTTCGCTATACAGTGGAACTCCCCTGATTTGAACTTCTTTAACTCGGAATATTTCATAAATCGAATACTTTTTGCAAGCCAATAGGCTTAAACACGTTGTCGGGTGCAGTTGCATTCATAGTTTCTTGGCACGTTTAGTGACAATAAAAGTCAAAATGTCAAAACAATATTTATAGTTTTTAACACTGAATATTTGAGTTAGAGAAGTTCCACTGTATTTGTTTTTTTTTTATCATAATAATTTGAAAACAATGGTACAGTTGAGGCTATTTTATTGGTATATTATTTTATAATTGGCGTGGTTAGATTTAATTTATTGTTAGACAATAAAATGATGCTTGATAAATTGAACTAGATAATTCATGGACGAAAATACTGACACTTAAACTAACTAAACTTTCCAGTTATTGTGATATTCTTCGCGTCACTCACCTTATATGTAGGAACACTGAACGCCGCTCAGAAGTTACATTTAGCGTTAATTTCGAACATGATGCGGGCTCCGAGTACGACGTTTTTCGATGTCACCCCAGTAGGGAGAATTCTTAATCGATTCTCGAAGGACGTTGACACTTTGGACAGTGTTCTGCCTATGACTTTGCGAGGATGGATAACTTGTTTATTTTCGGTTAGTGCGAACTCTTATTACCATCAATAATAATTATTTTCTCTACGATCATTGGTGAGCAAGCATTAGGACTTTTGTTTTTTACCCCTTATTCTGCCATTTGCTTACTCAAAAGAAGTTCCTTAATTTCCTTGTATGGAGTTTAGTGTATACCAGAAGGTTTTTTTACTATTGGCTTGTTCGGTTTAGTAATTGTGGTTGGCTACCCAAAGTACTAAGTAAATGCAATCTCCTAAACAGCAGTATAATTTTATGTAGAACCTATTACTTCCTTTGGACTCCCTTCAGTGAAACAAGTACATACTTGTACTCAACAGATGAGAGATTCTTCACACGTACTCTTTAACAGCTTCTAATCCCCACAGTTGATCTTTCATTCAATTTTTCGAGCATTATTATGTAAACTTTATTCGAATTTTCTATAATTTGTAATGCCTGTAGACCCTATAAAAAACTATCGTGCCATCGAAAGAAAAGTCGGATAGATTTGGAAACTGTTTTCCAATATTTTTCCTTAGTGTTGGTTGAATTTTCAACCCTGGATCCTAAAATGTGTAACGTGTTCCTACAAAAGTCGCAAGATAATGAATGAATGCAATATTTGGGCTATGAACAAAAGGTCAAGTATTGCGCTGCTTGGTTTGTGAGATTTTTATTAGCACACCTATGATCGTAGATAAAATGGTGTTCAAACTATATTACACTACTAGTGATTTTAATTGATATAATCACAGTTTTAATTTATTTCAAAATGAGGCAGTTATATTTGTTTTTGCTATGTACCTACTGTTAATAAAAAATGGGTAATTAACTTACGTCGCATATTTATAATTAATATTGTGCTATAATACGATATATAATTACGCATAATTACGATATACCTTATTCTCAGGCGATTATTTTGTTTTATCATTTAAATAGATATTTCAATGAGTAGTAACAACACCACCCTACAGAAAACGTTTGAGACTTGGTCTTGAAATTAGATTTTCGTTTTAAGGCTTGAATATTAAATAATATAAATTAGTTATTAAAGTTTTGTTTGCTAATTTTTTTATTTATTTTTCATATTCATACTTTAGCGAATGAAGCATGAAAATTAGTTTACTTAGGTTAAAAGAAGGAAAATTCAATTTATATTTTCTAACTTTATATAAACAACAACTCCACAGAAAGTCGCTTATCCTATTATAATATTTGTATTCGCCCCGTTAACTACCATATAGAGATAGTTTATTATGTAGGTATTTTTGTTTTAATAGTCTATTCTCAAGTTTGTGCTTGCTTTACTAAGAAAGAGTTACACTAATCTAATGTTTATAGCGATATCAGTTTGTTCTTCGGAGGTGATTTTAACAATAGCGTGTCTAAAAGCTGCCCTTGCAATTCACAGAGGTCTGCTCTGCAACGTGCTACGTCAGCCTGCGTATTTTTTCGATACGAGGCCAGTGGGCCGAATTGTAAGTCGATTTTCCAAGGATATAACTGATATCGATATCGATTTGCCGTTCAATTTTTACGAAGTCATCGAGAGTGGGTTGATTGTAAGTCTGGTATTTGGTGTGTAGTCAGTTAGTTGGTTTTGGCATGTGTATGTTTTTGCCTTATTAGTCCATAATGAATAGATACTGTTCCATAAAACAAAAGTGAATGTACTGAAGAAGAACCGAATTTAATTTTTTTGGAAAACTGAAAAATTAACTGAGACCTGCGTTTTTTATTAATCCTAGTGATTTTTTTTAAAGTCATTGATGATCCAGAGAATTTTAGTCCAAAAATATAAATTAAGTTTGACTTTTCTCATCATCAAAAAATGTGTCAAAGCAGCCACAAGGTGGCCTATAAACATGCATATTGAAATTTTCAATAAAACCACTATACATCTCAATACATTTTTCCACGTTAGACCAAAAGCCTAAAATTCAAAATCTTTATTCACAAAAACGGCCGTTTCCATCATACCTAAACTGTGTTTTCAGAAAGGTTTTGTATTCCTGAAGATTCTCTTCTGTTAGCAAGTGTTCATAATTAATAAATTAATTAATTGAGATTTTTTACTTTGTAATCAAACTCTTGATACGATGATAAATATTTTTTATGAAATTATCTATATTGCCATTGATAAATTTGTACCTTTGAAAAAGTTCTCTGCTAGAAAGTTCCCGATATGGTTTTCAGTCGACTTAAAAAACTATGTAATTCTCATAGCAAATACAAGTCATCTCGCTCTGATGTGGATTATCGTGAATTTTCTAGGTTGAGACAACTGTGCAAGAGCTTGACACAGGAATGCTATCAAAATTATATTCACGGGACCGAAATGGCTATTAACTCCAACATAAAAAAATTGTGGTCTTTTGTGAATAATTTTTCCAATCGAACTTAAATATAGTCACAGGTCAAGTTGTTTGGGTGGGGAGATTGCTGACATGTTTGCAGATTATTTTTCCTCAGTCTATTCGAATAACCACCATAATATCCTTACATATGATTTGTCTTCATCTATAGTCCATATACCGAATCATCATATACTAATATCCGACATATACTTTAAATTATCCATGCTAGATGTTAACAATGACCCTGGTCCAGATGGGGTACCACCCATATTTCTAAAAAAACTCAGTTTTAATCTATACAGGCCCCTTTACCACATTTTCAACTTGTCATTATGTAGAGTTTTGGAGGGAGAGTTTCCTCAAGCCCATCTTAAAATCTGGAGATAAATCTTTGGTAACCAATTATCGACCCATTAGTATCATCAGCACAATCCCTAAAGTATTTGAGAGCCAAGTATGTGACTTTTTGACCCCCCTCATAGAGCTTATTTCTATCAGGGAACAATTTGGCTTCAGACCGGGCAAACCTGGGAATTAAATCTTTTGACACAAACTGACTGTCCGTTGAATGCCTTGGAGAAGGGATTTCAAGTTGATACGATTTACACTGACTCTTCCAAGGCATTTGACAGTCTCCCATACCATGTTATTGCATAAGCTTTGGTTAATTGGAATCGATGAACCCTTGATCTCATGGTTTCACAGTTACTTGTCCGTTAAAATTGGTAATTTCCTCTCCAAAATTATTCAGGTTACCTCCGGTGTGCCACAGAGGTCCCATCTTGGGTCACTACTTTTTAATGTTTTTATAAATGATATTCACGAATGCTTTACCACATGTCTTTTCTTGTTGTTTGCCGATGACCTCAAAATGAGCTGCATAATTAAATCTCATGAAGACTGTGACAAACTACAGTACGATCTCAACAACCTCCAAGACTGGTGCAATAGAAATTTCGTGGATCTCAATCCTTCTAAATGTAAAGCCATTACTTTTTCGCGTGGTAGAACCCCTATTAAATTTAATTATAAAATTGGTCAACATACCCTTGAGGAAATTTCCATTATCAAAGACCTTGGTATTTCACTGGACACAAATCTCCATTTTTCCAATCACTTAGATAATGCAGTTAATAAAGCTTTCCAAATGTTGGGTCTTATCAGAAGGATAACCCAAGATTTCACCAATATTACTGCTTGCGTCCTGGTCCGTCCTCATCTAGAGTATGCCTCTTGCGTCTGGTCTCCTTTTTATGGTGTACACAAGGACTCTCTTCAACTGGTTGAACTCAAATTTTTGGAACAAATAGCCTATAAACTAAACATATTGGATAATTATAACGACACCCTGCTACTACTTTCTTTGTTAAATATGGCCCCAATCACTATGCGTCACAAGAGGAGAGATCTTACAACCTTCTATAATATTCTACATGGAAAAGCTTCGACTCCTGAAATTATCCATAAAATCAGCATTCATGTCTCTCCTAGAACTACCAGATCAACTGTCAGTTTTCATGTCCTGATTCATCGTACTAACTATAGACTTAATACCTTTATCTCCCGAACAGTTAGACTCACAATCGAATACCACAAGATTGACCTTTTTGCTCCTTTCAACATTTTCCTTAGTCAAGTTTGTCAAACTTTTAAGTAATTATTTCCAAATTTGGATTTTCAATCGTATAACTACATCATTCATCATTGGATATTATTTTTACCTATTTTCACTATTCCTATGTATCCTACCAAAACTTCACTCATGTTTTCACATGTAACTGTATTTGTTATTTGATTCTCAAGTGGTAAATCTTTATTTTATTATTGTTACCTTTGTTTATTTTAATTTGGTTATTTCTAACTGTTTTCAACTTGATATGAATTGAGAATTTAACATTTTGTAAGTGGGCTCGCGCGTTGATAAATAAATAAATAAATAATATATAACCTCATATTTCACCCCTTGTCAATCAGATATGCCTTCAGTAAGTGTGCCTTATCACGAAAATATCTAATATTAATATCTAAAACTTGCGCTTGCTTTTTACGGCTTGAACACTCATCAGAAATTACTATTCCACCATTTGATATCGTTGCAAAGTGAGACTTGTTGGCCATACATCTGAAGGCCAAATATACTCATCTCTTTTGAAGTGTGCCACATAAGTTATGTGCTCGCAGTTGCATCCTTTCTCGAGATGTTTTGTAAAGTTTTCATGAGAATGGCTAAGGAAAAAGATAGATCGAACACATCCAATTGACAATCCACTTTTTGATATTTTACAGGACATAATTGTCGACAAATTTCTCCAAAAAAATTTTTAACAGTGCTATGACTTAATCATTTGAATTTTTGCATATACAAACTTCCATGCATGAGGTAGGTAAACTGTGAGAAACCTCGCTCAAATCTGGTACGAGCTGTAAAGAAGGAAACGAGACTAAGATTTCAATCTTCGTTTGTATATGTTTGTTCCGGTTAACTTGAGTGGTAGCTGAACCATTTGAAAATATGATAGCTAATTTTTTTTTTTTTTTAAACTAATATTTGCTTAATTTCGCCTTTGGGGTAGTTTGAGGTTGTCCGAATTTATGTGGTTGTAGTGCAAGTATTTACTAGCTCAAAAAAAAAACAATACGTAGAAATAAATACCATTCAGTAATTTTCTTGTAGTGGACTAAAGGCAATATTGAGAAACTCAAAATATTACTGAATCCTGTATAACGGCGTATTGTCCAAAATGTTAGTTAACTTCATTATAACTTCATAGGCTTGATAATGGCTAGTTGGCTTTGACTTTTTTGCTTTTCATTCTAACACATGCCTTTTCACACTTTTTATTTCTTTTTGGCACATCACTAACCCATGTAAATACATACATATTACATTTGTTTTGAAACCATCCTTTCTCCTAGAAAAATAGAGTAGGATATATAAAAAAATACGTGCCAAATTATTTTATGCAAATAATATATTTATCGATAATTGCTGCCCCAGTAAAGTAAAGTTACTAACACAGGCTGTTTGTTCATTGATGGCCTCAATGCAGAGGTGTCAAGGCATATTTTAATACTATGATGTATATTGTAATTTGCTTTGTTTTTGGCATACATAGTCTCATCGATGATCTCAGTCAGCAGATGAAACGCCATATTGAAAAACATTGGAACAATGTGGCGCAAAAAAAAATTGAGAAACACCATAGAATCCTTTTTTTTTTAATGAAACTTGGCTACACTTTTATACTACGTTTACATTCAATTCTAATTTGAATTGGAAGTGAAATTTACAAGCTTATCATACGGAAAACTGTACTGTCGTCTATTTTGCAAAATATTCTCAAGGTCACGATCACTTGCAATTCAAATTGGTCCAAGCAGCTTGACATGGTCGAGAAAAAATTCGAAATTACAAATTTGAAGCACCTAAGGCTCCCACTACAAAAACTAGAAATGAAACAGCCTCTAATAATAGGAATAATGTGAATTTTTTTTTTTCTTTTCACTTTAATCATAGCCTGAAACCAATTCTCGCAGAAAATTTCAATGTAACCAGTCTGTCGTTCAATTGTCAAGTAATTCCAATTGCAATTTGAATTGAAATTGAATATAAACGTAGCTTTAGTCTCAAAAACAACAAGTTATGACATACATTTAGGATGGACTTTTTGTGAAACTGTGATTGATTTCTCGATGTTGGAATCATCTGCAATCAAATTCTAATTCAATTTAAAACAAAAGGTTATTTGAACTTAAAAACAATACATATTCCTAATATAAATTACCGTTAATAAAAATTTATTTTATCATTCACAGGTATGTGCTCATTATTCTTTGGGTGTCATCCTAAAAATCTCCTTTCTTTTCCTTTTTTCAGCTAGTTTCTCAGTTTTCCTACAAGTAGTTCCCGAATTGGGTTGTGTTATTGCCGCAGCTGTATTGCATAAGCATTTATTGCATAACGTTTTGCGCTTACCGTTAAGATTTTTTGATACCACGCCAGCGGGAAGAATCTTGTCTCGGTTCGCCAAAGACGTAGAAGTAGTTGACGATTCGTTGCCTTGGTATATTAATGATGGCATGTATTGCATTTTCGAGGTATTTTATAGTTTTTATTTTAATTTTTTTAGTAGATTTTTTTATAGAACGATTGTAGCTGACCAAATGCTTCTCAGATATTTTGATTTAATGGGTACCTTTTTACTTAGAATATATATTAGATCCAGAGGGGAAAGATCATTTCTTGTATTGTGCTCTTAAAACATACATTTTTGGTTGTGAAAAAAAGCCAAATTAATTTAAGTACATATCTTAATACCCGTTTTTCAAACATATAAAATTTTGATTAGTGATTAGAATGAAAGACAAAGTAGTCGACTCATTTTTTGCACTATTCTAATGTCATCCAAAAATATTAGGATGCTCACTTTCATAAATATGTATAAAAACTTGTTCGATCTCTGTGGGACAATCTTTTATTTTTTTATGTACCTCAAGGTGTTGAGTTGTCATTGCTCAAAAAACATTCAATTAAATCCAGTTCTCTATTTTTTATGAACATGTAGGTACCTTGCATGTAAGTTTTACCATTTTTTGTAAAGCTTTATATATTAGATATAAATAAACAAAATGTAATTGCCTTATTTACCTAGTATTGAATAGTGTACATATTTCAAGCAAAATTTTACCCAAAAATTTATACAATGTTAATATTTTTCAGGTTATTGGTACCCTAGTAGTAACAAGCGTCACAACACCACCATTTATAATTGTCATAATCCCCATAGGCCTTCTATACTATTTTATACAAAGATTCTATGTAGCTACTTCACGTCAATTGAAACGTCTCGAATCCGTATCGAGATCCCCAATTTATTCGCACTTTGGTGAAACTGTTACTGGAGTCCAAGCCATCAGAGCTTATGGCCAAGAGGAGAGGTTCACTAGAGAATCAGAACAGAGAGTCGATAATAATCAAATTTGTTATTATCCAAGTATTATATCGAATAGATGGCTGGCTGTGAGATTGGAAATGATTGGAAATTGTATTATTTTGTTTGCCGCGCTTTTTGCTGTACTGGGGACCAATCAGAATGCTGCATTGGTGGGATTGTCGATAACCTACTGTCTACAGGTAAGATTTGGTCTTTTGTCGATGAAGTTTCACTTATCACAAGATTCCAAAACCAGTGGCTGATCATTTTTCTCTTGACAAAATAAGATCTTGTCGCTGCTAAAATTGATTGACACTCATTTCATAGATAACTCAAACATTGAATTGGCTTGTAAGAATGACATCAGATGTTGAAACCAACATTGTAGCAGTAGAGCGTATAAAGGAATACGCTGAAATACCGCAAGAAGCCCCATGGGAAATCCCTAACAAGATAATATCTGCTGCTTGGCCTGAAACTGGGTCTGTTACCTTCAAAGATTACTCAGTAAGGTATCGTCCAGGTTTGGATTTGGTATTGAAACGCGTTAACTTCACGGTCATGGGAAGCGAAAAAGTTGGTATAGTTGGAAGAACTGGTGCTGGAAAATCTAGTTTAACATTGTCGTTATTCAGGTAAGAGTTTTTTTTGTCTATTTATTCTCTTTTTATTAAAAGATATTTTTTTTTTTCAGAATTATCGAAGCCTCAGAAGGACAAATTATAATAGACGGAGTGAATATTGCCAATTTAGGCTTACATACTCTTAGGTCCAGATTGACTATCATACCCCAAGATGCTGTTTTATTCTCTGGTTCCCTTAGAATGAATCTAGATCCTTTCGATACACACAGTGATGATGAGGTGTGGAATACCTTGGAATTAGCTCATTTGAAAGCTTTCGTCAAAGGTTTACCATCTGGCCTAAACCACGAAATCTCCGAAGGTGGTGAGAATCTTTCTGTAGGACAACGTCAACTAGTATGTCTCGCTCGCGCCCTATTGCGCAAGACGAAAATACTTGTTTTGGATGAAGCCACTGCTGCTGTAGATTTAGAAACGGATGATTTGATTCAAAGAACCATTAGAACGGCATTTAAGGATTGCACAGTTCTAACAATTGCACACAGATTAAACACAATCATGGATTCAGATAGGGTTATAGTTTTAGATAAAGGAAAAATAGCCGAGTTTGATACTCCGGCTAATCTTCTTACACAACCAACCAGTATATTTTTTGGTATGTGTAAAGACGCTGGTTTGGCATAATTCTTTTTTGTTAGATAGGCCAGTAAATACAATATTTATACAGGGTGTCTGGAAGGTATGTACAAAATCTTAAAGCAACAGGACGGTAAATTTAAAAAAATAAGCTACTGAAGTGAATGTATGTGAAAATATTAGGACACTTACGTAGGTACACTTTAAAAAATAATAGAAAAAAAAGTCGCGTGCAGCACAGTACACGTGATAGAAGTGAATACTTACTCTTTCTCGCCCTCATATTCATCATATGCTTCATCTCACTTGCGAGAGGAAAATTATATAAATCGTGTCGTGACGCGACCTTGAAAAATCACTCTCATGCGGCGAAAGAAGTATTCACTTCAAAAACACCATTTGCACTAGTAATTCACTGATCACATTTCATCTTTATAGGTACCAACAAATTTTTTCGATTCCAATTAATTTCAGTTTTCGGCCCACTTTGACACATCTTAGCAAGAGCACCTTTTTTGCCTGAAAATGTTCACAAAATTATTTCCTGAAAAAAAGTAAAAAATTCTGAATGTAAGTTGCTATAAATCGATTTATTTTCACCTTGGAGAGTTTGTGCTAAGATTTTGTACAGCCCTTTTAGAGACACCCTGTATAAAAAAGCCCTGATTATCCAAGGGGCATTCACCTCAGGTAAATCTAAACTAGCATAGTTTTTTTGTTTACTTTCTGAGTTTAAGTAAATCTGTTCCCTCATCACATTGCAACTTGCAATCATTATTTTGTAAATACATCACATATTTAAACTTTGATAATGGTGAGTTTGAGATTCGTACCTCAAATAATTGTTTTGATATGCTTGGATAATTGGGGATTCAATTATCATTAATTATTATATGTAGTCTATAAATTCACAAGCTTCATTGGCCTATTTTGTTTTTTGGTGCTTCACACAAAAAATTTAACTGTGTTCCTTTGAATATGTTTTGGTTACCTACTTAAATATATATTACTTAATAGAAACTGTATGATTTCAATTTATTAAAACGTACTTAGGTATTATTTCTGTACTTAAATTTGTTCGTGAAAATTGCCAGCCGTATCTGCAATGTCAAATCTTGCCTTAAAATACAAATGTGATGTTGAAGTTAAGATTCGTTTTGTACTTTTAGGGATCAACCTTTTATTGTATAACTATAGGAATATAGTTAAGTTATCTCTGGTTTGTGAATCAGAAAAAATATATATACATATATTTTTTCTATTCGAGCTGTATGTTCAAACTTTCTTTTAATAGGTAAGTACTCTAAAATTTTATTTATTTTTTACGGTTTTTTTTTATATTGATAATTTTTATTAGGTAATTAAATTAAGTTTTAACGTGTTGTCTTTTTCTTCTGTAGAAATGCCTATTGAGTTTTTAAAGCCAGACACTTTTCAACTTGCTAGTAATGATTTATTTACGTTCGTATACTTTTCCTACATATTGTTATGTTTTGTCTAAATACGAACCCATTTTTCTCGAAATGAATTTATACTTTTATTACAATAGTTTTTATTACAGCACAGCAATATTGATGAATATTAATATACTGTATTGTTTTTTGTAAAAAAATAAATGATACCTATCTGAAAGTATAGCTCTTGAATTTTATTTAGAAGTTTAGCTACATTTTAGTGAAGAAAATAGTATTCGCCTCAAATATCATTTGGCAAGTGAATAAATAATCTCAATAGTTGGTCCAAGGAGGAATACAAGTGAAATACCGTCAGGGGCAAAAAAACTAGGGCACCTGAAAATGACATAATAAATCTCAGGATACACAGACATTTAAACTGTTTTAGGGCAGGTATTAGAAAACTATTTTGACAGAATAACTTAAAGTTAATTCCTGGAATGGCGTTACTGCCCATAGTTATTCCAGAAGTTAACCTTTAGTTATCTGTCAACATAGTTTTATAATACCCGCCCTTAATGCTGCTATAGTTATGGAATCAGGCTAGAGAAGTCTTTCTGTCTATACAAGCAATTTGACACCCCATTTGTGGAGTGGGGTACGTTCTTCGAAATGATTCTCAAAATTTGATGAAACAAAATTGTGTGATTTAAAAAAAAAAACTTATTATTATTTTACTGGCCTACTAAGGGGCGTCAAATGGGGTGTCAAATTGTGTAGTGGGGTCGGTTCTATGAAATCATTCTCAAAATTTAGTGAAACAAAATTGTCTTCTAATTACCTAATTGTTTCTGTCCAATTTTTTTTCACCAGTCTACTAAGGAGAACGATTTGTCAAATGAGGTGTTAAATTATGGAGTAAGGTTTTGAAATCAGTTTCGAAATTCGGTGAAACATCGTCCTGGATATTTTAGATAATATTTTTGTTTTAGTTGTCTTTAAGAACAGAGTTTGTTATTTCACCAAACTAATTACGTGGATCAGATCTCCAATAATGTGTCAAATTACATAGAAAGTTTCGTTATTTTTAATTGAAAATAATTCAGATTGAATAATTATTTCATTCCAAGTATTTTTCAATGAGCTTTTTGACTAAAATTTTCATACTTAATTCAGGGAATAAAATCCTAAACGAGGGGCTATTCAAGCTATATTTTCAAAAAGAAAAAAATAAATCTATTGGAATGAATAACTTTTCTCCAGGCATTTCAAAACTGGGAAAATTTGAATGTATGGAAACGCGCCAGATAATGATGTACATATATCGTATATACAGTGTGGTTTTTTAAGTGTGCAACATATGCGGATTTTTTTTTAGTAATAGCACAACCCAAATACAAACAAGGCCAAAAGTTGGTGCATGTCTGATAATCATATTAGGTGCACTTAGAATGGTTGCAAGTCAAACAGCATACAGAGTAGCTCAAACAATATCAAAGCTGTATTGTACCCTTATTTTAAAAAATTCAGCAAAATGTTATAGAGAAAAGTTGTTTGGAATTAAAAGTTATGCCTAAATACCAAAACATAGCCTCCTAAGATTTTTTTTATTTTCTTTCGAAAAAAATCTATAATTTCTATATTTTTTTTTATTTTTTATTTCTGCCCTTAATACTTTCAAAAATTAATTAAAATCAAATTAATTTTACATAACTTTGTTCAAATTCAAGCATATTTGTAAATTTAACTTAGATTTTTAATTTTTTATGGAATCACAAAATTCATGTTTGTTGCAATGATATTCAACACAACTTTAAAATGTCGCAATTTTTTTTTTAACAAGTTAAAACATTACTAATGATAATAGCCATATTAAAAAAACTCTCCCTAAAGTGCAAAAGTTTTATTTTATTTAAGTAAATATTAGTAGAATTTTGATATTTTTTGAACCACCCTGTATGCTGTTTGCAACCATTCAGTGCACCTAATATGATTATCAGACATGCAGCAACTTTCGGCCTTGTTTGTATTTTGATTGTGCTATTACTAAAAAAAAATCCCATATGTTGCACACTTAAGTAATGACACTGTATAAAGCTGGCGCCACATGATGCGTCCAACCATTGGTCCCAACGTTGGGTACGTTGAAGCGGGTCAAATTTACCGACTTTGGTCCGAACGGTGTGTGTGACAAGAGCTTTGTTCGGCCACTTTTGAGTAAATGCCGAATATTCTTATTCGGCCAGTAGTGATGAGGTATTCGGTGAATATTCGGCAAGAAGCTTTGGTCGTCTTTAACACTTTTAGGCTGAGGAAAATTTTTCACCGCCACAAGCTTCTTCGTCTGGGAGTAGTCCGTTTTCGGATACCGTATAGCCTAAAATGTGTATTTTTCCCTGCAGGCACTGAACTTGGATTGGTTTTCTTTGCTATCCTAGCCACACTGACGAGACCTGATAGTTCGAAACGCGTCTGTGGATGGAATAGCGAAGAAAATTAATCCAAAATTATCCCTGTATGTACTTGAAATTTGTTGGCTTCAATGTTAATCCGGCCTCCCTAAGTCTATGAAATACCCTACATAACTTGATTATATGCTCCTCGAGTGTCTTCGAGAATATTATAATATCATCTAAATACACCAAAATCTCCTTCCACTTTATGTCGTGAAAAACTTTGTCGACCAAGGACTGAACGTTGCGGGAGCATTACAAAGTCCGAAACATTAAATTCATATAATCCATGACCCTGGCATTGAAACGCCGTATATTTCTTCGAGTCTTCTCTAATTTAAATTTGTCAAAAACCTCTAAACATGTCCAAGGAGGAGAAATACCGTGCGATCCCTAGATACGTTAGAATATCGTCAATGTTAGGTATAGGCCAATTCCAGTTTGCCTAAGTTGCCTCGTTAGTTCTGAAAAAGTCTATGCAGATAATCTTGTCTCGCCTGATTTTTTTTTTAACTACCACCAAGGGACTTGCCCATGCCGAATGGCTAGGTCAAATTATTCCATATTTCAGCATTTCTTTTGATTTGCTCGTCGATGACCTTTCGCTTTTTTTGGGACACCCTATATACGCCCTTCTTTTTATTGGACTGGCGTCCCTTTCGTCAATTACGAGCTCAATAAGGTCCGTTCTGCCCATGTATTTTGGGCTTTTTGAAAAAACATCGTCATAATCTAGGGTCATATTCCATCAATAAATCCTCGAGATGCTGCCTATAAATGTCTTTGTCCTGTGTGTGCCCTATACTGTGGTTCCTTATTGTAACTTTTTTATCGAGATGGGGACATCCTCCTCCACGAATATTACTGGGTAGTTTTGCCCTGATTTTTCTTGTAAATATCCTATGGTGGCACCCTTTATACAATTTTACCCCATAAGGCTTCTTCGTTACTACGTCTGCAACGTAGTGTTCTCCCAGATATGGTTTAGGCAGAGTAAACCATTTGATCTCAGTCGACAAAGTCCATGTCCTGTAGGCGTTTGTTTTTCAATTCTTCAATGCGCACTGAGTTTCTTTGCATCTGTTCCTGAAAGCATGTGAAATATAAGGGACGCACAGACCGCGCTCTCGCGACTCTTATTAATGTCAAGGATGATGCACACTACTACAACAGATGGCCTATCCTCATAAAGGGAACAAATCAATCATACAATCAATATAATCATACAATCAAGGTCTTTATTCTTGGAACAGGGGAGCAGCAGAACACTCGTTCTCCCTGGGAACGCTGCTTCCTGTTCCAAGAATGAGGACCCTGATTGTATGATCGGATTCGGATCGCAAGAATGCATGATAAATGTGTCCCGGGCTTTATGAGGATATGCCATCCTGTAGTAGTAGGTGTATCATCCTTGACATTAATAAGAACCGCGAGAGCACGGTCTGTAGGCTGTTTAAACAGCTGACGACTTAGTTATGATGCAATGGTAGCACACCAATATGGCGGCGATTACCAAAAACGAGGCCGATAAACAGTCCTAAATAATGTGTATTCTCCTTGTATTAATGTCGGAATGCCTCAAGGATAATACACACTACTACCACAGGATAGCCTATGCTCATAAGGTCTGTGTGGAACAAATCTAAAGCTCCCACCACGCCAAATTACCAGTTGTGACGTAGCAGCATGTCGTTTCTGGCCTTGACGTTGGCTGTTTGCACTACAGGTTATAATTCCGCGGGCTTTTGCTTTATGCATACCTACTTGGTTTTACTACATTAATTAACATTCTATAAAACAACTCTTTTTTAGATCTCGTAGTCTCTTCCTCTTTGCGTATTAGGGTAATCAAAATTAAATAATAGAGAATTATGGCACCTTCAAATAGCGACGGTCACTCATAAAAACGTTCTTATTTTGACATTATTGACACTTACGCATTAGGCAATCCAAACGACGTGATATTCAAGATGGCGTGGCGGCTACACATGGACCAAAAAACACAAAAAAATATCTAGTTTCTACCCGACTCAATAGCTTACGTACCTAGTAAACAAATATTTTATTGAATAATCAAAATCAAAGTTGCAAGCAAAACTCGAAGCAAAATAATTAAAATATGCATGAAAACACATGTTCAAAACAAACTTGTTGGACGCGATGCGCGATTGGATGACGAAGTTAATAGTTGTATTCCTTTCACACCTAGGAGGAGCTCCGGGGCGTTACGCTTATTCCTTTCGAAAAGTGTTTGTTGCACCCCGCATCTCTCCCTTTAAATTCGGGGTCGACTAACACCGGAGCGAGTAGCTCGAGTGTTTCAAACTCTTGAAAGGAATACAATTATTATTGCTTGTCCTGCATTTATAATTCTCAATGAAGAAGAGAAAAAACCAAAACCAAAGTGCAAGTGAAGGCGGTGGACGACGACACTATTAAAAAAAACACGTGCATTCACTGCACGGAAGATTGAAACTATACGCTTTCATCGCCCGTTCGTTCGTTGGCTAAAGCGTCCACACCGCAGTCGCCGATTTCCTCTATTTCTTTTGATGTTACCGACACTCTACGGGTTGCGAGCGAACGCCAACGAATCTTCGTTGGTCTTTGCTAAACCGTTTACACTGAACAAAAATTCTTCGAACGAACTCATTCGCTGGCGTTCGTTGGCCCGGTCTGTACGCAGCTTAAAGGAGCGCGCCCACTGGGCCCGCACAGCCCGGCACAGCACGGCCAGCGCGGCCGGCAGATTTTGATATGTTCGTAAACGAATAGAGTAGCGCCCACTGAATCAGAACCGCTCAGCTAGGCACCGCACGCTCAGCCCGGCGACGACTCGTATTCTCGATAGGGCAAAAACTGCCGGTCGGTCCGCGTGTCTGCGACCATAAAAGCATTGGATTGTTTCATTTTATTTTTGGCATCATGTCCGATGAAATTTTGATTGAAAGCATTTGAGCATATGCATTGTTGTATCAATCCAAGGAAAAATATTACCACGATACCACTCATAAAAAAATGCTTCGAGAGAAGTTTTTTTCAATTCGCGAACCTACCACTTCGATAGTCAAAGTTGTTTTAAACGCTATTTGTGTCTGATCATGCCGAGGCAATGGGCGGTGGCTGCGGAAATGCCGGCCGCGCTGGCCGTACTGTGCCGAGCTGGGTGGGCCCAGTGGGCCCGCTCAGTGTGTATTATCCTTGGGATCCAGCTTGAAGTGTGTATTATCCTTGGAATTCCTTGACGCGACGCTATTGGACATAACAGCTATGACGTCATTTCTGGGCAGTAAATTATAGCGTGCAAAATAAGTAGGTACAAATTTGTTTATTTTTTTTTAGGTATATTTTTGATATTTTTGTTTTCTAAAATCAAAGAATCATCAACTATCGGAATATTTCGAAATTAAGGGTGCAAAAAATTCAATTTTTCGTTCGTTGCTTTTAGCCAAATTATGGACCGCCCAACTGGTAACGTATTCGGCAAATTTATCATGCTGGTAAAATTGAAAATTAAATTTGCCAATCACGTTACCACTAGCTTCATAATTTGGCCCTTATCCAATTAAAATGCTAATTTCAAAAATGAGTGAAAGAGCTCATTGTTGCTAAACAATTTTGAATTTATTTAATTCATTTAAATTGATGACCTACGTCCATGGTCATTCGACCTTCGGCAATGCATGATCGGCACTATTCAGCTAAGTTCACACCGCTAAAATTCCCTAGAATTGGCAGCACTGCTCATGCTCACATCTGCCAGATACAAATGTCGCTAATTGTCATTTCTGTTAACGTCAACGAATGGGTTACCGCGTGAAAAGCATTTTTCCAATAAAAAATTGAAAAAAAAAACAAGACTTTATGGAATGGCCGCCCACAGCACGGAAGGAATCGAGGAAGTATCCCAATTAGAAATAAACCAGGAGCCAGATCAGCAAGAAACCAAACGGACAGAGGAGAATGCCATAAGGTTTGTACGAGATTTCATAACCTAGAACACTGATTAGCATTGTGGTTTTTATCTGTGTCCAGTAACACCGAGAGCATCATAAGCCTGTTTGATTGCTTCGAAGATGGAGGATCAGAGGATGGCACGAATCCTTCGGCAAGCCAGAGCGAGGAAACTCAAGCCAGGACAGAAAATTACAAGAAAATCCTTCAAGGTCCTCTCCAGGGTCCTGAAGTTGCCAAGCTAGAGGAGAGTAGTAGGTGAGCATTTTCAATTATTACAATATGATAAAGAGAAAATATTGCTGTACCAATTCAAAATCCAATTAGGTACTCAATTCTTGTTCTTATTTTATTCTCAACTGCTCAAAATCCATACAAAAAAAGAAACACGATTAACATTGAAAATAGGCCCCCATAAGTTTTAACCAAATTTCAATACCTATTTTAGAGGTATCATCATTGCAAGAAAAAATTTGAAATGTAAAGAGGATCGTATGTCTGTGATAGCGGATATAGCTTGTCAAAGTGCTTAGGTTCTGCTATGCTATGCATAGGAAATATCCGAGGAAATATCCCTACTTAGATTTTCTGGAATATTTCAAAAAATACCAATGCAATTTTGAAGTTTTTAGAGTTTGATACCTACAAAAGGACCCCAGAAACGTAAAAATCGAATTAGTATTATTCAAGATATTCAAGAAAATCTTCCTACAGTTATTTCCTCAGATATTTCCTATGTATAGCATAGCAGGACTTACGTACTTTGGTGAGCTATATCTGCTATCACAGACATACGATCCTCTTTATATTTCAATTTTTTTTTTTGCAATGATGATACCTTTAGAATATTGAAGTTTGGTTGAAATTTACGGGGGCCTATTTTCAGTGGTAATTGTGCCTCCTTCTTTGTGTTATCCTTGAAAATTCAAAAATCATTTGACACATGGGATTTAATTAAGGGATTCAGCAGTCCTCGCCCGAATTCGCTCTTACCCTTTTTCTTTTATTTCAAATTTGTTTTAGCCTCGTATTGGGGCCAGGTTTGTATCTACCTAAAAGCTTATCCAAGGTAAGTAATTTGTACTCAGTAATAAATAAAAATACCTTTTAGAAGCAGCAAAGTAGGTAGATAAAGACAAAAAAAGTTGAAGCTGTTCAAATACTCGCATTTATTGTTTAAAGGCATCCTCAGGATTTAAAAAACAGTTAGGGCCTTTAAAACAGGGTTGATTTTTGGAATTAAATCGTGTTATCCATTTTTGATCAATTATTAAAATGAAATCTTTTTATAATTTAATAAAACAGTAAACAAACAAAAATACCCTAATAATAATTATGACGATATTTTCATATTTTTAATGACTCTTTATAAAAAGTTTTGCGGTCTTTTCATTGCTAAGTCATTTTCTTAAATTATAATGGCATAGATCGAGGGATAGACTATAGGTAGAAAATATTCTCTCTACACCAGCCGAGGATGGTATTGCAGTCAGAAATTTTCTTCAGTATTAAATCTTCAAAATGTTTTTATTAAATCCTTAAATTTTTTTTTTTTCAAAAAAAATCACTTAATTGAAATCACAATTTGAATAATAAGTTAGATCATGCCAAACCTGGTTTAAAAAGCTGAAGAATCAATTAAATTTCTTCTATTCAAAACATTTTTCAGGCTAAAAAATCAAGTAAAATATATATGATTTAAGATTTTTTTGGTCTGAGTACATACAAAACCCAAACCATAAAAGGTGAAAATTTTTACACTAGCCCAAACTCAGGTGAGTACTCAGAAAACAAAACTATGGCAAGGTGAAAAACCAACTAATCCAAGAATAACATTATTTGTATTCTTTTTCCCCTATTGATACTCCTTAGTGAGAATGAGATGGATGAAAGAAAGAATGCATTGCGCTTTTAATTTCATCATAACATTTTAACAGTTGAAGTTGTATTAAATTTCTTTCTTCTAGCTTTTTTCGCTGAGAAGATCCCGAAAGCTTAGGCAAGACCTACACAGATTTACTAATCATAGAGATATGAAACTTTTAAAATAATACCGGCATAGGTCATGCCTTAGCGTTCAAACGTAATATAGAGACGAATGACGCTATCTCGTTACAAAACTGATAATAGAAACAAGTTCTCAAAAAACTACAAAAACTTAATTCAAACTGGAAATAATCTAGGAAGTCAAACAGTCTATTGCGTTTTTTTTTTTAACCAGTGTCAATCTTATGTGTAATAGCAATAGAATGGCATATGAACCAGAATTTCAAAAACTATTGTTTTTTTTTGTAGGAATTTAAGTACATAATTCAATTTTTCTTGTCATTTTGTCTATCTCTGTTATATCAAACTTTGGCTTTACCCAGACCAAACCTTATAGCTCCCCACCTACGATACATTTTAAATAGCCGACATTGCCCGACATGAACGATCCAGCGCCAATAGCAGCCTAATGCAATGATCGCGATAAACCTGGATTCATTATTAGTATTAACGTCTTGAGTGATAGCTAGCTTGAAATTTTTGACGCGCGTTACAATATATTCATAACGACGCATTCAATATCCTTAATAGAGACACGAAAGAGATTAATTCATACATTTGCAACATCTCATGTCCCAATATTTTTCAATAGGACTCAAAATTAGTTGTTTAGGTATGTTGGTGAATAGTGATACAAATATGTAACATAACAGGCGTTGGTGAGTATTTGATCGGCCTTTTTGTTTTTTGTCCTTATCCCAATACTTCCCTTCTGAACTCTGTTTAGAATTCAATTGTACGAATATGAGTCCTGTTCAATTAATAAATTCTCGTTTTAAAGCCTCATTCTTCTGCGGTTTTTTGAATATTCCTAACATAACATTTTCTCTCTCTCCATATAGGTATTGCTGCATTAGGGTTTGTGTTGGCAAATCCATTCCTTGGCACATGAATGAGCTCTGCAAGGAACACTGGTTCGGTCGTTGTCAATTTTGCTCAATTTTTTCCTCAGTTTTTTCCCTAAGATGTTTGCACGCAAAACCCGCCAAAGATATCGTCATTCTTGGACCTTGCTCTTTCATGCAATTTTATGTGTTTTGGAAAAACATTCCTTTGCCAGAATGCTGGAAGCACGCCAATTAATTTGATGCTTATTGTCAAGAGCATGTTAGCTATGCTTGATTTGTTAAAGTCCCTGTTTTTTTATGTATTTCACGTGTTCCTGGATACATATTTGTAATGCCTTCGAGTTTCACCAAAATAGAATTTATCACATTACTTACATGGAAGTTTATGAATTACGTTTTTGGTATGAACAGTTCCATTATTTGGATTTGTTTTTGAAATTTGTGATCTGATAGCATTAGGATCTGGAGAACGGTTAGAGTTATAATATTGGTTAAATTAGGAAAAAGTTGCGCAATTTAACGCAATAAAATGGTACTTTGACATTTGAAAAATTCCGAACATTTTCCGAGATATCCGGGAAAAGCTGGAATTTTGCAAAATTGATTTTTTTCTCCTGAGCTTATTTCAGGAGATATTTCAAAATAAATGTCACTTCATCGTTACCACTTTTCCTACTCTACAAGATGGCATTATCAGTTTTAAAATTTGACGTTTCGTCTTTGAGCCATCAGATTTTAAATTTGAAAATGTCATTTTGTAGAGTAGAAAAAGTTGTTACGATGAAGTGACATTTATTTTGAAATATCTCTTCAAATAAACTCCAAACAAAAAAAAAATGAAATCGATTTTGCAAAATTTCGGTTTTTTCTGGATATCTCGGAAAGTATTTTGGAATTTTTCAAATCTCAAAGTACCATTTTATTGAGCGTTCAAATGCGCAACTTTTTCCTAATCTAACCAACATTTTTCTTAGGAAATATTTCTGGCGACAGAAATAGCGTCCTAAGGTGTTGACATAGCTAATCTATTTGGTGTTTATTTTTCCTCTATCTATAACCTCCAGAGAAATTCCAACGCCGGAACTTTTGCTGATCGATTTGAGAATGTTCCAAGCGTTGTCATAGACCCAACCAATATTGAGAGGGCTTTAAAGCAAGTGGACATCAACAAGAATGCAGGACCTGATGGTATTCCTAACAAAGTACTAAAATCTTTTTCTAACACCTTTTATCTCCCTCTATTTATTATTTTTAACAAATCCTTAACCTCTGAAATTTTTCCAGAAATGTGGAAGCTCTCTTACGTTTGTCCTATTCACAAGTCAGGCAGCAATAATGATGACTAGAGACCTATCAGCATCCTGTCTGCAATTCCTAAATTATGTGAGCAGTGTGTTGAAAATATTCTTTCAAAAATATTTCATCAGAGATCAGTCAACAGCATGGGCTTACAGCCAATAGATCTGTTGACACAAACCTGTTTCTCTTTACAGATTTTATAAATTCGTCATTTGATATCACTTCAGTAAAGCCTTTGATAAGGTAAACCATAACATCCTTCTTTCAAAGTTCTCAAGCTATGGCGTTTTTGGACCCTCATTTTCATTCATGCAACAAGTCAAGATCGACGGCTATCTTTCTTCTCTTTCCCGTGCATCCTCTGGGGCATCCCAAGGCTCTCACTTGGGCCCCCTTCTATTCACCCTAATTATCAATGATTTAGGATCGTTGCTCTCCTCGAATTTTTTACTCTTTGGCTGATGACGTAAAGTTGTATCATCAGGTAATGTCAGCTCAAGACGTACTTATTCTGCAGAACAATGTTAACATTGTTTATGATTGGTGTCAGCTTAATGACATGTTCCTCAACATTGATAAGTGTTGTTGTATAAGATTCAGTAGCCTCACCTAAGGTTCCCTTTCAGTATTGCTTAGGTGATATTCGCTTGTCTTAGGTCATGGGCTTGCTGCAGAAACTTATCAACTACTTTCCGAAAAATTGAAATGAAAGTGACTTAATGAGTTTTAAATTTTTCCTTGATTGTAAATCATTGGACTTAATGAGGTTTTCCATAATGGATTACTATAAAAAAAACTTCTAGAAAGTCAACATTAATTTTATTGAGTAAAATACAGACTTTTAATCTTGATACAACATGAAAGTCACAAAACAAAACTCACTAAGTCGTATTTGTCACGGCGTGTACTTAATGAGTTTTTGCTTTTCTATAAATTGATAAAAATTACTTAAGTGTATTTTGTATCTTGTTCTCTGTCAGTGACTTTTAAGATCCTAACTATTCTGAAATGATAGAATAAAACCAGACTTAGGGACGGTTTATTCACATTCTGATAAACTATCCATAATCCTATTGGTCAGCCAGTTATTTGTCAACCAATAGGATAATAGATTAAGATAGAGTAAGTTCATCTGAAGATGAATAAACCTGGCCTTATATAACGATCTTAAAAATCGCGAATTTTGACTTGAAGTTCTTCCATAATATGATGAGTAATTCGAACTGTGCCTTCGTGATGTTTCCATAGAATCACTCTTCTTTGAAAATTAATCTTGCTCTAGGAATGTGGGGGCATATAAAACAGATTAATTAAATATTAATATGGTTTCCATCGGGCTGAAGGAAATTTATTACCAAGAATTTTAAGTTTTAGTCACCAACAAAATAAATCAGGCCTGATTGTTTTCCTATTTTTAGCCTAAAGTTTTATTGTATCATTACTGTGATTGCGCACGAGTAATAATTCGGCATGAAGTAATAAAATGCCTATTTCTGGCTTTTACCAGTACTCTGATCAGGTTTCTTTTGTGGCTTATCTATGTTTAAAGTTAATTACCTCTGAAGTAAGTTAATTAAAGTCATGTTATACTGGCTCTTATATGTAGTTTTTTTGCAATGAAATATTCAGTTTAAATAATAGTTATAGATTTACGATCTTATTTTAATTTCAGATTATTCTCTTGGAAATTAGGTATATTTTATTAAAATAAAATAGAACTCGAAGCAAATAAAAATAATTTGACAGGTAAAAAAGATTCTAATGCGAGAGCGTGTGGTAATTCTTTTCAAGATTGAGAACTTCTGGTGAAAATTTCAATTGAGGTGTAAGTCTCAAAAAATGCAAGTTAATTTTAAAAATCCTTTTCAAACATGCAGACATTTATCACAATGAAATAGCGCCTCCTGTTTGTAGGATACAACTTAACTTGCTAAGGTCTCATCTGTATATGTGTTGATCTGTATGAATTTTTGGGTGTCCTGGGAAACTGATTGTGGGATGCAACCAAATGAAGGATGGCTTTGCTGTGAATAAAAAAAAGCCAAATTGTTTAGGTACCCACTAGCCAAGCTCTCCATTTTAATTAATTTCTTTTGGTTGGTTACAACATTGACTAAGGTTAATTGGACTAGCATAATTTTAGCAATTCCTTACTTGGTATTTTTATCTATGTTTTATTTCGTTTCAGAGATCTACGTCACAATATAAAAGTACACACCCTCAAAACTATCGAGTCTTGTACACATGAAGTGGCTTGTCCGCCTAATGAAGAATATTTTGCTTTGCAACCTCGACACGGTCCACCTCTTAAGGAATACCCTTTCACATTAGATCCATTTCAAAATGAATCTATTGCATGTGTTGATAACAATCAATCCGTTTTGGTATCTGCTCACACCTCTGCTGGAAAAACTGTAATTGCAGAGTAAGTGATCATAATATAATGAGGAAAATTATTTTAAAATTTTATTTTAAGATATGCTATTGCCAAAGCCTTCAAAAATCAGCAGAGAATTATCTACACTACACCAATTAAAGCCCTGTCTAACCAAAAATATCGTGAATTTCTGGAACAGTTTGAAGATGTGGGATTAGTTACTGGAGATGTCACTATAAATCCTGGGGCTTCATGTCTTATCATGACAACAGAGGTAACTATAAAAGTTATCTACAATCCTAATAATAAATTACATACTTTATAGATCCTGCGATGTATGCTTTACAGAGGCTCTGAAATAATGCGTGAAGTAGGTTGGGTAATATTTGATGAAATCCATTATATGCGTGACTCAGAAAGAGGAGTTGTTTGGGAAGAGTCAATTATATTGTTACCTCACAGAGTGCGGTTTGTATTTTTATCCGCTACCATTCCAAATGCCAGACAATTTGCTGAATGGATCGCTTACTTGTACAAACAACCATGCCATGTAGTTTATACTGATTACAGACCTACACCTTTGCAATATTATTTATTTGCTGCAGGTGCCAATGGTATACATATGGTCGTAGATGATAAGGTAAAACTCCATGATATACTACTGACTGTAATTTTGGAAAATGGGTACATTTTTATCAATAACCTCAATAATTATTATTTTTTTGAAGAAACATGATTATATTTTTGTTGTCTGTTTACTATATTATTCTAATGGAATTGCCAACCCAGAAATAGTATTACTAATAATTTCTCTATATTAGAACTTGTAGAGAAGGTATAAAAAAGCGAATAACTCTAAACTGAACTTTCACAAATTGGTTTAGGGTGCTTTCCACGAGGATAATTTTAGTGCCGCAATGGCTACACTACAAAATGCTCCTGGTGTAAAGGATAACAAACGAGGACGACAGGGGGGTGCTGTCAAAGACCCTTCTCAGTCTAACATTTTCAAAGTTGTAAAAATGATAATGGAGAGAGGTTTTGCTCCTGTCATTGTGTTCAGCTTCAGCAAGAAAGATTGTGAATTGTATGCTATGCAACTGACAAAGATGAATTTTAATACAGGTAAATAATATTATATTTGTCCAATACTTATTTTCAAGTTTGAAATTTTAGTTGCCGAACAAAAAGCTGTCCGATTAGTATTTGATAATGCCATGGATGTGCTATCAGAAGAAGACAAAAGATTGCCTCAAGTACAAAACATGCTCCCCCTCTTACTCAGAGGTATTGGAATTCATCATGGTGGATTATTGCCTATATTAAAAGAGACTATAGAAATTCTATTTGGGGAAGGTTTGATAAAAGCACTTTTTGCTACAGAAACATTTGCCATGGGCTTGAACATGCCTGCTAGAACTGTGTTGTTCACTGGCATTAACAAATTTGATGGAAACCAAAGAAGACTTGTAAGATCTTATCAGAAATTATATATATTTTGTTTTTAATAAAATGCACTCAATATAATTCAGATATCATCAGCAGAATATATCCAAATGTCGGGAAGAGCCGGAAGAAGAGGTTTGGATGACCAAGGTATAGTTATCCTAATGGTTGATGAGGCAGTTCCTCCTGCAAGCATCAAAGATTTAATGAAAGGCTCTGCAGATCCAATAAATTCTGCTTTTCATTTAACCTACAACATGATTCTTAATCTTACAAGAATCGAGGAAATGAATCCTGAATTTATGTTGGAAAGATCGTTTTATCAATTCCAGTTTCAGTCTAATTTTCCATCTTTACAAGAAGGTAGGACATGTGCTTTGAAATTATAAGGTTTTACTAACTTAAATTTTAGACTACCAAAAAAAGAAAGATGAATTTGATGCTATCAAGATAAATAATTTGGATCAGATAGCGACCTATTGTAACATAAGGAAAGAACTTGATCTCCTATCAAGGGACTATAGAGATTTTATAATCAAGCCTGAATATTTCATTCCTTTTATGCAACCAGGAAGGCTTGTTAAGGTGAAACTGAAATAGCAATTTGTATTATTTTGTTTTTAATAACGTGTACATATTTTTTCCAGATTGTTCATGAAAATGTGCACTATAACTGGGGATTAGTGGTAAACTTCAAAAAACAGACTTCTACCAAAACCACAACAATTGATGGCAAAAGAGTTTCTAAACCTTGTACCACCATTCAATTGCATGTTTTGCTTAATATACCTGAAGACAAAAGCTCGACCAAACCCTGTGGAAATGATGAGGTAAGAATGTATGTATTTTGTAGACAATTGAACAGTCAATGTGCAGCGTTCTGATAAAGATGGTATGGATCACTAAATTAACAAACATTTTAGAAATTTGAATTCTTATGCCTTTTTATAGTAGTTAACATACATTAATAATTTATTAACACATAATATTGGCATATAAATGAAATGAGATTTACGAAAAGGAAAAATACTCCTACATTTTTTTGACAACATGCAAAGAAATTTTGGACACTTTTTTCTGGTCAACAAAATAAAAATGTTTCTCCTATGTTTTTATGCACAGATAATTTTATTAAAATAATGTTAATGTTCTAAACTTCACTTCTATGCTTAAAACTATTACTTGAAACAAATAAGAAAAATGGTCCATAAACCTTGATGAGCACTAATTTATTGATAATATTATATTTAATGTTTTTCCAAATTGTCTGTTCTTACTTAGCTATTTGTTTAACATTTATGAACTTACTGTCACAAAGGCAATTTTCTAATGAGGAAATTGAAAAGTTTCCGATGTAGAAAAAACTTTTCTCCCTTACTCATATGGACTAATTTGTACGGAAAAATACATAGTAAATTTCTTCCATACACCATATAGACCGGGAGTTAAACAGATATGAGTATAAAAAATGTGAGGACCGGCAAAAATGCTCAAAATCGTATTCCTGTGATCCTAAAGAATGGAAAAGTACATCTTGCCGGCAGCTGGAGTGGTCCCTAACTCTCCTGCCATCCCCCAATGCAAAGTTATATGGAAAATATCACAATATCAAGTCATTTCACAATAATTCCTATTGATTGTACCTAAGGCTTTCTTTTCAAGCACTCAAAATAAATGACTTACTACTTGTTGGATAATATCTTTGCAATTCTGCTCAAAAATATACACGGGTAAAAGAAGACTGCGAGATGTACAGGGTCATCCAACGACGACTGAACAGGGGCTCATTTTTTAACTTCCCTTTTCCTGTAGTTTTGAAAAAATTCAAAATAGCCAATTGGCATATTTTTTTTCTGGAGAATTCAAAAATGGTACAAAAAAATTATTTGAGCCAAAAACCAAAGAGTTATACCATGGGTGAACTGTTTTTCAAATGAAACACCCTGTTTTTGTATGATTTTTGAAAAAGTCGCATTTTTTTTATGCCTATTCTGTTGAAAATATTCAATATTCCGCTGTTTTTATTTTATTTTAATGTTTTATGCTTACTAATTTTAGCTTTTCCTTTTCAATTTAATAGGTTCATGGGTGATAGGGGTATGGTATAATCACCTTTTGTTCAAAGTCAAAGGAAATTTGACATATATTGTCGCCATCACAGATGTAGGTATTGAATAGGTAAAGCTAAAATTATTAAGGACGAAACATTAAAATAAAATTTAAAAAGGCATCGGAATATCAAATATTTTCAAAGGAATAGACGTTAAAAATGCGACTTTTCCAGAAATTATATAATAAACTGGTTGTTGTGTAATGGGTGTTCCATTTGAATCCATGGCATAACTCTTTGGTTTTTAGTTCAAATAATTTTTTGGTACCATTTTTGAATTCTCCAGAAAAAATATGCCAATTGGCTATTCTGAAATTTTTCAAAACTACAGGAACGAGGAAGGTCAAAAATAAGCCCCTGTTCAGTCGTCGTTGGATGACCCTGTACATCTCGCAGTCTTCTTTTACTTGTGTATATTTTGGAGCAGAATTGCAAAGATATCCAACAAGTGGTAGGTAATTTATTTTGAGTGCTTGAAAAGAAAGCCTTAGGTACAATCAATAGGAATTATTGTGAAATGACTTGAAATTGTGATATTTTCCATATAACTTTGCAATTGGGGGATGGCAGGAGAGTTAGGGACCACTTCAGCTGCTGGCAAGATGTACTTTCCCATTCTTTAGGATCACAGGAATACGAATTTGGGCATTTTTGCCGGTCTTCACATTTTGCATACTCAACTACTTTTAGCGCCTGCTCTAATAGTTGCCAAAAAAATTGAACAGCACTTATTAATGTATCTCATCACTGCCTCTATCTCTTGATACAGTATCTTGAAGAAAAAAAAAACACAATTATTTTATATTTTTGAATAAATAGAAGAGCATCTTTGTAGACAGGTTCCGCAAATCTTTAAAAGTGGTATCATAAAGCTATTGTTGAACTAATGACACAATGGATTAAATTGCAAGTTTGCCAAAATTTTCAAGGAAGGTTGTCTTGCAAGTTTTCTGAGAATTTGACATTGTTGTGAAGATCCGAAGTAATAAAACTTAATTCTATATGCAAATTCTTGGGTTGACTATGGGCAAAGTTTAGGGGGCATCATAGATAAGGTATAATATACTAATTTATGAAAGCAGAAAAGTGAATAAAAGTATGAATTTATGTACTAAAATTTTAGTAAATGCCACTGAAAATACATCTCGCAAGTATTAAACTGAGGATCAAGATTTTTTTCATATTTACTTTATGTGTTTCTTGAGCCAACTTTTTCTTTTACTCATGATATCTAATTCAATTTTTCAGAAAAGATGCATTCAATAATACTAATAATAACTCTTTTGTTGCAAGCTCAATCTATAAACAATAAACAGCAAAGTCAAAGGTGACCAGGAAAACTAAAAATACGTAACAAAATCCTATGAAAAAAAAAAATCAATAAATTAACATTTTCTGCTACACAACAATCAAAATTTAAAGTGTTAGGTGTTTTATTGCTGGCACTATCTCAATTTGATGGATGTGAACTTGCGGGGCAAATCGAAATCTCCAAGAAATCAGTTAAAATATTTCATCCTAGATTTTATCTAATTCACTATTTCAATTGCTATAGGTCTTATTTTGTGTAATTTTATAACGAACCATGAACGCTTCTCACAATCTAATAAGTAGGTTGGCTAAGTGATTTATTGAATATTTAATGGAAAATCATTCTTACTGGAATTATTATGATTACAATAATAATTAGCCAACCATGTTATGATTTTTTGAGGAGATGAATTTGCTTCATTAATAACCTAAAACAATAGTTTCAATACTGAGTAAAGGCAATGTTCGTTGACAGAAGCTTTTTTTCATTATTCTAGAAATCCACACCTGAGGTAATATCTGTAGACTCCAAAGACGTAACTCACATATCTGAAGCTCGTTTGCACTGTCCAGATGATGTAAGACCGTTGCCTGTCAGGAAGGCCTTGATGAGGTCAATAAAAGAGATAGAAAGACGATTTCCGGAGGGCCCACCAATCTTAGATCCAGTCGAATCTATGGGAATAAAAGAACCCGAGTTTTTGCTCATTATTCAGAAAATCAAACTGCTGGAAAGCAAATTGTTCGCTCACCCCCTGCATAAAACAAATGTTATGGATGCCGAATATCATCAGTACAAAAAGAAAATGAGTTTGGAAGCGGCTGTAAATGAAGCGGCTGAAAAATTATCTGCTGGCAACTTGATACAAAAACTTGACGAACTCAAAGCCCGAAAACAAGTTTTGGTGAGGTTGGGCTATTGTACAGCCGAAGATGTTATTAAAATGAAAGGCAGAGTTGCATGTGAATTGAACTGGTATAACTGAAGAATAATAATGAGTAATGTAATTCTTACTAAATGCTTATTTGCGTTTCTAGTGGGGATGAATTGGTAATCACGGAAGTATTATTTAACGGAGTTTTCAACAAATTAACTCCCGAGCAAGCAACCGCGTTTCTAAGCTGTTTGGTTTGTGATGAACGAGCTAAGGAAAATCCCAAGATTAATGAAGAATTATGTGGACCTCTGAGAGACTTACAGGTAAGTGTTCTACAATACTAATAAATTTTTATTTTATGTACTTTAGTCTCTGAACTTAAAAAAAAAGGTAGTGATTTAGCTGGTGGGCAAATGCCTGAATAAATTGTTCGAAAATTCTGTATATTTCTTCGACTAACTGTCAAAAAACATGCATGTGAGTATTTTGAATATTGAATAAATATTTACTACTCTTCTAAATACAAATAGACTATAGTTGAGCCAAACGAAATAAAATAATGTGTTGATTAAAAAAGTAGCCCCAAAATAAATAAATTTATTTTGGCTTATTATTATTATAGTTCAAGGCACTTCTCCTTATCACTCATTACATCTTAGTTATTTTTATTCTTCTTATGCGCGTCAAAAACATACAGATTGCTATATTTACTTTACAATTTTAGTTTAGGTAGTTCAAGAAGTTTTCTGTGGATTTTTACGAAATTTTAAGTTATATTAGGTATTACGAAGAGCGAATCTTGATCTTGACGCCATCTAGGATATAACATATTAGGTATGTTCTAACAATAATCTCTGACAGTTTGCAAACTGTCAGAAAGGATCGCTCATACATTTTTTCAATGCTGTCGTTCCCAGATAAATCGATAACTTTGTTGACCGATTGTTCCTGACAGTTTCCAAATAGTCAGAAATTCTTGTGAGAACAGACCTGTAGTTAACATGCTTTATATAGCTTGATTTGATTGATAATCGATTTCTGGACAAGCGAGGAGCGTGGAATGGGGAGTGGCAGATGATAGGTCTGTTCTCACAGAAATCGCAAACCAGTCAGAGCGTTTTTGATTGGTGCAAATCGCCAACAAACAGATTTCTGACTATAGTCAACCAATGAAATTCGCTCTGACTGGTTTGTAAGAACACACCTGCTTTGTCAAATGGGCATGTCCTAGTTTTCGTTGTCTATCCAGCACTGCACTGACAAGGTGTGAGAACACTGAGACGCGTCTGTAGTTGTATCTGGTTCTGTTTTTCTTTCTTCAAATTTTCAAATAAAGTGAGAACCATGTTCACTTCATCTTCCATCTTTTTTCACATATTTCCATTCTGATACCAATAATTGTTACATAAGCAGGTTTGTGGCTGACTGAAACTACTTTTCACACGCAAATAAATTTTATTCAAGATAGAATCACCTCTACTGAAACTGCTCGTAAAATTATATCTATATATATATTCCAAAACTCTAATTTGTTTGCTTCAATGCTACTTGTTTAGACCTGGCGTACTCTTCCAAGCATTCGCCAATTTTCCAATAACCATTGTCACACCAAAATAATAAAAATCAGCGAAATCCAAATTTTTTAAAACAAAAAATTATAACGGCTTCAAGACACTTATTTTATGCCTATTTTTTGTTAGGAAGCTGCGCGACTCATAGCAAAAATTAGTTTAGAGTCGGGCTTACCAATAGACGAAGACGAATACGTGAATCAATTTCGGCCGCACCTTATGGATGTAGTGCTTGCTTGGTGTAATGGCGCATCTTTCGCGGAAATATGCAAAACAACCGAAATATTTGAAGGCTCAATTGTGAGGTGTATGAGAAGATTAGAGGAGTTACTGAGGCAAATGATGCAAGCCTCTAAAACTATTGGTAATGATGAACTGGAAACCAAGTTCACTCAAGCTATAAAAATTTTGAAAAGGGATATTGTTTTCTCTTCTAGTTTGTATTTATAATAGTTATAAATGTACTTTATACTCGATTTTAGTTTTAGTTATTTAGTCATCCTGTTGGCTGCCATCTTGACAAATTGCTACAGACGCAAGATTTTTTTTGTATGTTTTTTTTTCAAAATGTGTTATTTTGGAAGCAAGCTTTTTTATTTTGGATTTGAAAATTTTTAGAAGTTGAATTTACTTTATGGCTAATGTTTGAATAAACGGAGTTTATTTTGAATTTACTGTTTTTTTGAATCCAAAAACTTCAAAAGTACATGTATGTGCATACTTACTTTTTGTGTAGTTGCTTTTATTTAAATTTTTAACTGAGGAAATAATGTTTACGTACACTCGGACCAGGATCGGTTGTATTTTGAAATGCTTTGAGCTTGGAAAAAGTCAGAATTTTCTTGATTTTGTTGCTTGATAAACTTCTGATTTTTGCCTTCACCCAGCAATCAATGAAACATACATGTATTACAAACAAATACATATTACTTTTTTAATTGAGTGAATTTACTCCCTATAAAAATCACCTTTATTATTTTGTTGAAACTTTACCACCTTCGGCGGCAATGGTCATGTTTAGTGGGGCTTAAATGACCAGTCGAGGGTTATTGCGAATATTATTTACCTGGGAGGGCGGCAATTCCGAGAATAGAAAAACTACCCTCTGGTCAAAAGTAATTGCAGTATTACTTTTAAAAGCCAAAACGCATATTTTACTACCTGGGTCCCTTATTTTTGGAATTTACCCTAGGCAGCCTCTAAAAGTGAAAGAAAATTGGCTGCTATCCCTCAGTTTCGGTTATCATTTCACTTGTGACGTTGACTCGAGATGTACTCCTAGATCCCAGAAGAAGTTTTTGATTTTTGTGATTAATTTACAAAATAAATAATTTATTTATTAAATTCTTGCAGCTGATTTATTTAAGTAAGTTTGTTTTAAGTTTTTAGTTTTTAAAAAAATTATTATACTTTGCATAGATTGCCTTATTTTTTATTTATATAATTTATTGTTAATATTTTTCACTCTTATTTTTATAACATTGTATTGAAGTTTTGTAGCTTGGTAATATATTTTCTAAGTTTTTGGCGGGAGATATATTCGTTTCGCTGTGATTTTGTGTTCAGTAGTACGGAAGTATCTCACGCCCAAGTCTTTGAGTCCTGCCATTAGAAATGTATTAAATTAATATTATTTTAAGACCAGCTCAACATGTGATTCCTAACAGTCTCATCTTTGGTGATCTAGCCCTGTGATGTGTTTAATATCTCACAAGGTTAGGTGACCAAGACTAGAAGGTTATGGCGGTACTTCAGCGTGGCGTCTATATCGATTGGATTCATTCAGGAGTTTTGCCGGTCTGTTACAGAGAAGGAACTACTGGTGTGATTTGTGTTTTGGATACTCATATCACAGCCATTAGTTACTTCCTTGTGGCAGTAAATATCTTCAAGAATATTTTTGTAAATTTTAGGTTTATTTGTGTAAATTTTAATTACTTTGCATACAATTTTAAGACCTTGGGTGATGTTGTCGTGCTAGGATAGCCAGGAATTTTTGATGCCCAGGAGAATTGCTTTCTGAAATTTCACCAACACACGCGTGGTTTCGTATGAGATTCAAGCCTTCGAATTAATGTTTCTCAATCGGGTTGGATTCTCTGATCCGGATCAAAGCCCTTATTTAAATGACATTATTTTTTGGTGATCCTAGTTTCGCTTTGTCTCGTTTTGCTTCTGTAGTTAAGTTTGCTTCGGAAAACAATTTCCAAAAATTAGTTTTTTGTTAACATTGAAAGTGAGACAACGTAACAATTGGACAAGTGTCGTAGAAGTACGATTCTTCCCATGTTTGTAGGGATTCATCTCCCCATTAGCCATTACTCTATTGTTTTACCCCTCTCATAACTTTTTCCCACACATTAGAAAAAAAATAAAATTCTGTAGCCTAGTTCAGCATTTCATTGTTATTTCGCCCAGGCCTAGGGCTTTCTCCATTATGTAGAGTTGCCCTTGTCCTAGATTTCTAATTTTTTTCTAACATTCCCCATATATTTTTCTTTGTGCATCTTTTTCCATTTTTTATTGTGAATATATCCAGTATCCTTTTTTTATTCTGATATTTATTGTATTTCATCCCGTGTCCAGTATTCTAAGTTTCTGTTAGATACTCTTTTTCCTATTAAATATCACAACAAGTGTTCTATCTCACAATAAGTGTTCTACACTTCAAACGTGAGCCTGTTTATTGTCATGTATTTTTATAATTGTTTTGTATACTTATTGTATTTTTCTGAACGATAATATATTTATTATTATTATATATTTATAGGCTCAACATTAGTTTCATATTTTCTACGGGTGTTCGTTTCTTAGTCACAGTGAATTTTAGGTTTGTGACTAGATCGAACATTCGGAAATAATATGATTCGTTCAGCAGAAACGCAACCAATGTGGGACCGCAGGAGATAAAACGTAAGGATATCTTGTTAGTTGTTGGTATAGCTTTTAATGGTTTTATTGATACTCCATAAAGCTAAGTCAGCAATTAATTATGTATCTTTAATCAACATGTAACTAATTTGAGTGAGTGACTAATTAACTGCTTCTTTAACTACTGTGTACTGTGTTTATTTTTTTTTTCCAAACAGAACGTTGCTGAAATTTATGAAGAAGAGAAATTAAAAGAATTTGGCCTAAACTTGCAGCAATGGCTGTGCATGGTGAGCTGGGACACCTTCTAGCCTTTGCCATAGTCATCGTCCATCAAGGACCACGAATACTTGGATATTTATAAGCTAGGCAATTTTCAAAATAAAATCATTGAGTGATTAACGATTTGGCATTGCCATTTAAGAAGTGGTGATAATATCAGTTGATTTTATTTTGAAAAATTTCTTCGATACCCATATAGATACTTATTTTTTGAAAACTTTGAAATCAAATTAATTCATTGTTTTTTCAAAGTTTATTTTCTATTTATTTTATGTCCATAATTATGTTTTTGAAATATTCTTGAGAAATTTTAAATTTAAATTGTATTCTTGTAATGTTCTCAATGGTGCCCATATCTCATGGTTCGGCAAAATTTGTTTTTTAGTTTATTTTCTATCTATTCTATGTTCTGTTGTTTGTTTTTAATTTATGAATAGCGTCTGATAATGCTGTTAAAGGTAAAACGTGATTATTAATCCAATAATTTGTAACACTGAGCTCGATTTTTCTCAAGTCTAGGAATTGTTTATTATATTGATAATTTATTTCGAATTTTCCTCTAGCCTGGCGCAACAATGCTTTTGCATATGCGATCATTTTAACTTTCACTATGTTAGATTGAATTATTATTTGGGTTATTATGTGGCTTGGAAAGAACATTTTAGTGTGTTAAATACAGACCGATCTAAGACTTATTACTGTGTTATTATTTTTCTTTCTGGGTTTTTCAGGAAAACCTCAACAAAGGAGCTATAATGCTGAACTTGACAGCTGGTATATTTTCTCCATTGTAAGAACGTTGGAACAATGGAAAAATTGAAGTGTTGATAGTTATTTACATTCCTGCTGCGAAAGCGTACTTTTAGGTGCGAGGTGTATTCAAATCGCCGAGGCTATTTGAATACTTCCGAGCACCTAAAAGGGCTTTTGTAGTGTGTAATGTATTAAACTTTTCATTCTTCCCCTCCAAAAATCGTGAATAGGCATGTGAAAGTGAAACATGCTAGTAGGGAAAGTGAAAGTAACTACTAGTATGTTTCAGTTTCGCTTTCGCTTGCCTATGCAAGATAAAAAAAATCTACTTTCGTAGGGGAGAGAATAAAAAGTTCTATTCTATATAGTGTACACACTGGCAAGCCAAAACTTGATGTCTCTCTGGAACCTTTTCATATTCAGGCAAGAAAACAACGCGTTTCGTTTGAGAACACTCCAGGTCCAGACTCCATTATTCTTTTCCAGGTGATTTCAGACAAAAGCCATCTGAAACTTTGTGCCAGCGTTGGAGCTGTAGCTATCCTTCTACAAGACAACCCAGCAGCATGAAGCCTTACTCTAACAGTACATTCACTGAGATTTACATCTCTAACTTCTAGTTGAATTTGCAGCAAAAGCTGTTTTAAATGGTCATATCTTTGTAATTCACTCCTAGTGTTTCTACCCAAAAGGGCTCTGGAACAAGGCGTCGGTAAACATGCTTTTATCACTCTAGAAAGCCCTTTTAGTTATAAGATTAGTTTATGCTGAAGCATTTAGAAAGGAGTAGGTACCTAGTTTTTTTTATTTTTTATTTGAGACATACATGACGTTATCTACATATTCAAATACTTAATTGATATTTTCCACATTCTTTTGGACACATTGAAAACTTTTATTATTTGTCTGTATTGAGTAGGTACTACGTGAAACTAAATGGTTTTTGGAATTCCCACATCTAGGAGTTATGACGAAGTCCTTGTTCAATAATGTATCGGAAAGGGCACTTATAGGGCTTCAGAACTGAAATCGAATAAGGTATAGCCAGTTTCAACAGCGTTTAAAAGTTGTCTTATTATATTGCGACACATTTGAAATGCCTAGGCTAATCATAGATGTTTTTGGGGCGCATACATTTGTTTATAATCTTTATCCATTTGTTGCAATGCAAATAAATGCAATCGTAATCATAGCAATCCTTGAAAAAGTTAGGTTATGTTCGCGAGCTACTGCAGTCCGTGCATGTGCAATCTCTCTGCTCTCAGTGCAAGAATCGCTCTCGGTGAGCAATTTTTTTATGAATACAAAATCGAAAATGCGTAGCGTATGTGAAAGCAAATATTCGATTTCAAAAAAATAAGTCACATTCAGAAATGATTCCGAGCATACTGCTTTGGAGCCCATGGCGTATTCGACTACCCGCACCTGCACTAGAGTGCACTCAAATGCATATGGAGGGTGCAGTGTAATAGTTTAAGTTCGGGTTGAACCAGTTCACGATAGAGCAAAATTTCCTGTGTTCGGATACGTTTCCGGGTGGGTTGTGTGTCGTGTTCAAGCTATTTATCATTGTGATTTTCGGCGGCGCAAGCGCATTTTATGAAATCCTAATTTCAAAGCGAATGTCGGAGCACAAATTCGCACGAAGCCGGTTCAAATTTATTTAACCCGCTCTATCCTGGGATCGTCTGGAACTGCTAATATATTCGCTCTATTTTACAGTGCAGTTATTGCACTTTTACGGTAGGTACGAAACTGGAGTGCCATCAAACTCCAATAAGAAATCGCTATTAGTTTGCACCAAATGTCAGCACTCTGGTAATTGTCATTTGTCATTATCATGGGAAAAAAATGTGAAAAATTTTGCAAAGGGTGAACTAACTGAAAAATTTTAGAATTTTTCAGTTATTCTAATATTTCAAAATAGTTTTCCGCCCAAGTAAGCTCAAACACCTTACTAATGTATTGCAAAAACAGTTCTAACACGATTTTCTGCAAAAATCATTATGTAACATTGAAAAACATTTCTTTTTACATTTCAGTCACATTCTTGAATTAAAATTATATAAAATAACCATGGGGAACACTATATCAGCTGCAGACATAGCTGCCACACAAATTGTTAATCCCAATGCTAGTCCTAACGAAGAAGCTCAGTCTCACCACATACACGCATTATACCGCAGCAGCTACACCGGTGACCCTCCAGAAGAATGTCCTATGCACCAAAAGCAACCTAGTGTTTCAGAATGTCCAGTTCAACACGGAAAGGATGAAGTCAATCCTCTGAATATGGTAAGTTGTGATTCATTTTTTAGTCGGAAAATCCAACGATTGAGTTAAGGACCTGCTAATTTTGGGAGAATCCTCCAGGGTTTATATTTTAAAGCTGTAGAAAATATTGCCTTGCTCTGCTTCCTGTTAACATTAACTTAACTTGAAAGAATGCTAAAATTTAACGAAGATTTTGTCTAGGCAAAATCCAGCCTGGCCCGTTATTTCTTAAAAACTGTTCAGAAGTACTCTGCAGTCCCTTAGCCACTATTTCACAGATCAATTATTGTGGTCCTAATCTTCAAGAAAGGAGACAAACTCTAGCCATTTTAATAGAGACCAATCAGCCTCACCAGTGTACTCTGTAAATGTATGGAAAAAATCGTAGTAAAGAAACTAACAACTTTTTTGTGACATTGTTCTTATTTTTTTCTGCAATAAAAATTCATAAAACACCAGTTTTCTCAACAATTGAACATTCATACAACTTAAATTCATACTCTTGATAATAGGTATTTAGGTACAAAAATAGGTATACAAATATTGACAAAGTCACAAAAATAATAATTTTATTAATTTGTTTTTTTTTCTAGATGGGTCCAGCTAACCAAAGCCCTGCACCTGGACAACCGTTTCCTTTATCGAAAGACAGACAACTTTCCACTATACCAAAAGCTATTATTAAGGAAGGGGAAAGTCCCTTTTGGCTTTATCCGAGTGCACAAGTAAGTTTGACACATAAAATTCTTCGAAAGGAAAATTGTTTGAATGGAAAATTATTCGAACAGAAAATTGTTTGAACGGAAAATTGTTCGAACAGAAAATTGTTCGAAAGGAAAATTGTTCGAAGGGAAAATTGTTCGAAAGGAAAATTGTTCAAATGGAAAATTATTCAAACAGAAAATTGTTCGAACGGAAAATTGTTCGAAATTGTTCGAAAGGTTTTATTACGAAAATAGGTTGTCAAACGCGCAAAATAAAAGTAAAGAAGCTTGGGCAATTGTTAACGACTTAACAGGAAAAAACTGCTCGATTAAGCAATCCGCAAACATTGACAGTGGTATATTAAACAAATTTTACTGCACTGTTGCTCAAAATTTGACATGTAATTTAAACCCATCTCTTGATCCTATGGATAATTTAAAAAACTGTCATATAGATGAAGAATTTGTACTTCGTCCCACTAATTGGAAAGAGATTATGAATCAATAGGTAACATAAAATGTAGCAACTCTGTGGGAACTGACGAAATGTCAATAAAATTATTTCGAAATTTAGACCAACCTGTGCTGGAGGCTCTGGCGCAAGCGATAAACAACTGTTTTTTGAAAGGGGAATTCCCTGATGTATTAAAAACTGCCATTGTTATTCCTGTACACAAATCTGGATCGTATGACGAGCCGGCTAACTTTAGACCAATCTCACTTTTAAACACCTTATCTAAGATCATTGAAAAAATTGTAAAGAGTCGAATGCTTGAGTTTTTCGAAACAAACAAAATTTTAAGCCCTAATCAATTTGGCTTCCAGAACTCAAAAAGCACAAATGATGCGTTATTTTCATTCTTGGAAAACCTTTATTTAAATCTTAATAACAAGGAGACTGCAGCCGCAGTTTTCTGCGACTTTTCGAAGGCATTCGACTGTGTTAACCATGATTTGCTTTTGAGAAAAATGGAGGTCTATGGTTTCAGGGGTTTATCACTTGGATTTTTTAAATCATATTTAACAGGGCGATCTCAACAAGTTAAGAATGGAGCAAATGTTTCATCATCCGCGCATCCGCGCACTTGCCGCTTCTCAAGCGTGATAGGACATTGTCCTTGCGAGTGCGCATATCCGTAAAAAAAAAAAAAAAAAATCATTATGTAGATTGGATATAGGTGTGCCTCAGGGATCCGTTCTCGGACCAATTTTGTTTTTATTATATATAAATGATTTAAGTTTTTTGGATATTTCGGGTAACCTAACTTTGTTTGCTGACGATACTACAATTCTTTGGAATCATAAAAACGAAACATCTTTAAAAAATATAATACAGACTGACATTGTAAAAATTAAACACTGGTGCGATTCTAATTACTTGTGCTTCAATATAGATAAAACCAAGATAATTAGTTTTAAATTTTCCTTCGATGATTTACATCTGGCCAACCAAGTCGTAGAACAAAGTGAGAGTACAAGGTTTCTAGGGGTGATTATTGACAAGGATCTTAAATTTTCTGATCATTTATTACATTTAAATAAAAAAATTTCCTCGGGAAGCTATGCCGTACGAAAAACTCTCACAGAGTTGGGTAAAATTATGGCTAAAACAACTTATTATGCATTGATTGAATCCCACTTAAGATACGGTATTGCGTTTTGGGGAAATTGTACTCAATATTTATTTAGATCAGCATTTATAATACAAAAGAGATGCATAAGATATTTGTGTGGAGCCAAATTAAGGGATCACTGCAAACCACTGTTTTTGCAAGAAAAAATTTTAACACTAAGCTGTCTCTACATCCTGGAAACCGTATCACTCATTCACAAAAAGTACAAAAATTCATCTCACCCACACTCGTACCAAACTAGAAATTATAATAACATCCCACTCCCTATTCCAAGGACTACTTTAACGCAAAATTCCATTATTTATCGTGGAATTAAAATGTACAATAAACTTCCACATAATATTAGAAACTTAGATTCATGCAAGATATTTAGAACCAAGGTTAAGGAACTATTGGCTGAAAAGGCATACTATAGTTTGGATGAGTATTTTGATGACGAACTGTAGATGATTTTAAATTTAATTTTGTGGCATTTTTGATAGACCTTTATTTTAGGTTTGTCTGTTTTATTTATTTATTTATATATGTGTGTATTTCTGTTTTATATATTTTAGACTCATGGCTACTGTGATTGTTGTTTATTGCATGTTCCATATATACCTATATACCTTTTGACCATTTTTGACTTAATTTAGATAATGTACCTTAAGTAATTTTATTTTTTAATTGGAAGATAGATATTTTAAAAGTCCATTTTATTTATATTTTATCAACATTTTTAAAATTTTAACGTTGATGTGTTATGTTTATCTTTATATTTAATATTTTGTTTTAAATTTTTTCATATTTTTTTGTTGTTGTTTCTTTTTTTTTTTTTTTTGCTGTGCTTTTTTTTTTACCATAGTATTTTTGCTGTGTATCTGTTATTTGCTATTTTTGCTCTTTATTTGCCTACTGTGTACTTTTTATATTTCTGCTCTGTCAATGGAACCATGTTTTTTAGACAATAAAGCATATTTTGACTTTGACTTTGACTTTGAAGGAAAATTGTTCGAATGGAAAATTGTTCGAAAGAAAAATTGTTCGAATGGAAAATGGTTCGAATGGAAAATTGTTAATTTATTTTTTTATTTATTCATTTATTTACGTATAAGAAAAATACATTTGAAGTTGAACAGAGTTTAAATCTAAAAAAAAAAAAAAATTTAACCTAAAACAATTCTCCTGGCCTTCGTCTTAAATTTATCCAGAGATAAACCAAAGAACTCAAGGCCCTCATAGAACTTATTTACATTGGCAGATATTCTATTCACAGGACTGAATAGTAGGTACCAGGTTCGACAGTAAGGAATGTGCAGTAAAGATTTACTTCGTGTCTGATAACTTTGAATGTGTAGATTAAAACATTCAAGACATTCGTGGCTTTTTATGTAGTAGTTAAGAATTTTAAATGCAAAACAGACATCAAAATATTCCCTTCTGCGAACAAGAGTAGATAAGTCTAAATAAGTCATAGTCAGGTCATCACTGAGAATCACACCACTCAAAGAAAGTTTGTACCTTGCAAACTTAATAAATTTGTGTTGAACACTCTCAAGCCTATTGATGTGGATCTGATAGTAAGGTGACCAAACTATGCATGAAAATTCAAGAACGGACCTGACCAGTGATGTGTAAAGAATTTTGATAGGGCGTATACTTGTAAAGTCCCTAGTAGCTCTCTTAATAAACCCCAACATTTTATTAGCCCTGCCAATTACCACTTCAAAATGCTCAGTGAACATTAGCCTAGTATCTAGATAGACACCAAGATCTTTAATGATAGAAACTTTAGACAAGCGAACATTGTTTAAGTAATACTGCAAGGGAACACTATGGGTGCGTCTACTGAATCTTATACAACAGCACTTATCGATGTTGAGGGACATGTAATTAAGCTGACACCAATCGTGAACGATGTTAAGATCATTTTGCAAAATAAGTATGTCTTGAGTTGACGTCACCTGACAATACAACTTCAAGTCATCAGCAAAAAGTAAAAAATTTGACGAGAGCAACGATCCTAAATCGTTGATAAATAAGCTGAATAGAAGGGGGCCCAAGTGAGAACCTTGGGGTACCCCAGAGGATGCATGGAAAAGAGAAGAAAGATAGCCATCGATCTTGACTTGTTGCATTCTGTTAGTAAGGTATGATTTCATCCATGAAAATAAATGTCCAGAAACGCCGAAACTTGAAAGCTTTGAAAGAAGGATGTTGTGATTTACCTTATCAAAGGCTTTACTGAAGTCAGTATATATTTAATGAGTTTCTGCATTATTAGCAAATGATGAATTTATGAATGTTGTAAAGAGAAACAGGTTCGTCTCAACGGATCTACCGGCTGTAAAACCGTGCTGACTGATCACAATCTGATGAAATATTTTTGAAAGAATTCCTTCCACGCACTGCTCAAATAATTTTGGAATCGCAGACAGAATGCTGATGGGTCTGTAATTTATTACATCATTTTTGCTGCCTGACTTGTAAATAGGACAAACGTAGGAGAGCTTCCACATTTCTGGAAAAATTCCAGAAGATAATGATTTGTTGAAAATATTAAACAGAGGAAGATACAAAGTGTTAGAACAAGATTTTAGTACTTTGTTGGGAATACCATCAGGTCCTGCAGACTTGTTGATGTCCAATTGCGTTAAAGCCCTCTCAATATCTGTTGGATCTATGACAATGCTTGAAACATTCTCAAATCGATCAGCAAAGGTTCCAGCGTCGGAATTTCTCTGAGGGTTATAGACGGAGGAGAAATAGACAGCAAAAAGATTAGCTATGTCAACAACGTTGGACGCCTTTTCTGAGGCAAGAAACATTTCGTTAGGAATAGTACCCTGATTAGATTGGGAGTGAATAAAGTTCCAAAAAATTTTCATATTGGTGCCTATGGCTCTTTCAGTATCACTTATGCATAATTTATAGCACTCTTTGGTGAGGTTTTTACAATCTCGCCGAAGTGTACTAAATGCAAAGTAATCCAAACCACTATTCGACTGCTTGAATCGTTTGTGAGCAATTTTCTTTTGAAAAATCAGATTTTTCAATTCGTTAGAGAACCAGATAGGAAATTTCTCGCTGTAAGAATGTGCCTTTATTGGAACAAACATATTAAAGCAGTCGAACAGTACCAAGTAAAAGCTCTTAACAGTTTCGTTTAGATCGTCCATCATAATGGATCGCCAATCAAAGGAAAGAAAATATTCATTAACTAAATGTACTTATACGCCTTAGAAACGTAAATCCACCAAAAACGTGAAAAACCTTTTTTAAATACAACAGCTTGAAATTTCAATTATTTTTGAATCTCCGATTGCGTGCTTCGCTCACTTAATCTCAAAGAGAAGATCCGCGGAACCGTAAATTCGGTGTTGGTACAAAAAAGCGCAGCTCAAAAGCGAGCAGACGAAAGGACGCAGGTCAAAATATTATTGGCAACCAGTACACTACTATAACCAGTATTAAATGAACTGTAAGGAAACTAACCAAAAATATGTAAACTAGCCCAAACTAACCCAAAAAAATGCAAACTAACCCAAATTAACCACCTAATGCGTGCTAGTCCTTGTATATTAATATTGAATTTAAAAAACCAAGAATTAAGAATCAGGGACGAATATTAAGAATTAAGAAATTGGGTAACTCCGGCCATAGATTAATTCACGATTCACAGTTAAACTATTGAGTTTTCGGAAAAAAAAAACAATTTTCTGTTCGAACAATTTTCTTTCGAACAATTATTTTCGAACAATTTTCCGTTCGAATAATTTTCCGTTCGAATAATTTTCCGTTTGAACAATTTTCTGTTCGAATAATTTTCCGTTCAAATAATTTTCTGTTCGAACAATTTTCTGTTCGAACAATTTTCCATTGGAACAATTTTCTGTTCGAACAATTTTCCGTTCGAACAATTTTCTGTTCGAACAATTTTTCCATCGAACAATTTTCCGTTCAAACAATTTTCTTTCGAACAATTATTTTCGAACAATTTTCCGTTGACGGGAAAATACATGTATGTAAATACTTATTTTAGATGTTTTGGAACGCCATGTTGAGAAAGGGCTGGAAATGGAAAGAAGAAGATATTAGCCAGAAAGATATGAATGATATAATTAACATTCACAATGCAAATAATGAACAGGCCTGGAAAGAAGTATTAAAATGGGAAGCTTTACATGCTGATGAGTGTATGGATCCAAGGTAAACCATTTTATTGAAATAACCTAGAGAATCCTCTATAATTGCCCCTTCTGCTTTCAGACTAAAAAGTTTTGGAGGAAAAGCAACAGACTACAGCCCGAGGGCTCGAATGCGGTCCCTCATGGGCTATGAACTACCATTTGACAGGCACGATTGGATTGTTGACAGGTGCGGCAAAGAAGTCCGTTATGTTATTGACTATTATGATGGTGGAAAAGTGGATAACAGGTTTCAGTTTGCTTTGCTGGATGTTAGACCAGCAATGGACAGGTAATTTTGGTATTTTTAAAAGTGAGGTAAAAAAAAACTGCAAAGTAGATTTTAACCTCTTGAATCAAAATTGAGCACACAAATCTACTCAATTGGCCAGTTCAGTTCATAAGTTTCAGTAGAGATTTAGTTAATTTGTCAGTTTAACATGAGAATGATGGCGTGATGGCACTGGGTATTGCATGTACACTTCTTATACATTTTGTCCAGCCTCAATTCTGTTTCATTTTCTGTTAATCTTGTCAATTCTTTTTTAGGAGTCCCGGGCTGCGTTCAAAAACGGCTAAAGCCGAGCCAAAATTGGCATATTGTGTTCAAGTTCGGCTCCAGCGTGCCAAAAACGGTTGGCTTTACACGTTCCAAATCGGCCGCGGTAAAGTAACTTTTGGAGGCTCTTTCAACTGAGTCTAGAAATGGTTATAGGAATTTTGATTGGATGAGACCAAATTCAATATGGCGTGGCGGCCAGGCAAGTTAGTTTTGAATATGGGTTTTCATGCATATTTCAATTATTTTGTTTGTTTGCAGCTTCGATTTTAATTATTCAATAAAATATTTGTTAACTAAGTACGTTAACTATTAAGTCGGGCAGAAACTAGATATTTTTTGTGTTTTTTTGGTCAGTGAATGGTCGCCACGCCATATTGAATGTCACGTGGTTTGGATTGCATATTGAGAAACGGTATTTGGCGTTCCAGCAAATTCACACCAGATTTGGCATTGCCGGTAGAAGGGGAATAGTAGGTTTTGGCATTAGCATTGCCGTCTTTGAACGCACTCCTGGAAAATTGTTCGCAAATAATTGTTTGAATGGAAAATTCTTCGAAAGGAAAATTGTTCGAACAGAAAATTATTCGAAAAGAAAATTTTTCGAAAGGAAAATTGTTCGAACAGAAAATTGTTCGAAAGGAAAATTGTTCGAAGGGAAAATTGTTCGAATGGAAAATTGTTAATAAATGTACTTATACGCCTCGGAAACGTAAATACACCAAAAACGTGAAAAACCTTTTTTAATGTTCGCTCACCGAATTTCAAAGAGAAGATCTGCGGAACCATAAATTCGGCGTTGGTACAAAAAAGTGCAGCTTCAAAGCGAGCGGACAAAAGGGCGCAGGTCAAAATATTATTGGCAACCAGTACACTTCTAACCAGTATTAAATGAACTGTAAGCGAACTAAGCAAAAAAATGCAAACTAACCCAAATTAACCCGTCCACGTAATGCGTGCTAGTCCTTGTATATTAATATTGAATTTAAAAAACCAAGAATTAAGAAGCAGGGACAAATATTAAGAATTAAGGAATTGGGTAACTCCGGCCATAGATTCATTTACGATTCTCAGTTAAACTACTGATTTTTCTGAAAAAAAAAATTTCCGTTCAAACAATTTTCTTTCGAACAATTTTCTCTTTGAACAATTATTTTCGAATAATTTTCCGTTCGAACAATTTTCTGTTCGCATAATTTTCCGTTGGAATAATTTTCCGTTCGGACAATTTTCCGTTCGAAAAATTTTCCATTTAACAATTTTCCTTTCGAACAATTTTCCGTTCGAACAATTTTCCGTTCAAACAATTTTCCGTTGGAACAATTTTCCATTCGAACAAATTTCTCTCGAACAATTTTCTTTGGAACAATTATTTTCGAACAATTTTTTGTTGACGCTTGTTTACATAATATGTAATGGCTTCTCAGTTGATCTTGTGTTTCATATTATGAAACACAAGATCAACTGAGAAGCCAATTGTAACAGAGACTAGACAGAAAACTGAACTGAAGATCTGAAAGGCCACTGAGAGCCTGTAAGACCAATGCAAAAGATTTTTTTTGAAAACAAATTGAAAGTTTTGTTTACCTCATGAATACATGAATAAATTTGAACTGGAATGAAAAATATTCACACACTCAATTTTTTTTTAGTGTTGAGAACGTTTGGGATAGGATGAAAGTAGCTTGGTGGAGATGGTTCTATGCTGATAAATAAAGTGTTGGACAGTAGATGTAGTTTTCATGTTCGTTTTATTGTTACTTATTCATATGTATTTATTTGTAATATTAATAAATTATCATTTTGACGCAGGGCATTTTATTTAAAATGAGTCATTTATTTATTATAGGTTTAGAATAAGTTTTATATGAACCTACAATAATATTTGAACTAATACAATAATCCGGTTTTATTAAAAAACATTTTAAAGCATCGCAAAATTGCTTATCCACAGCATTTCTAAGTTCTAAGCTAATGTGATTGAAAATTTTGATTCGATCATGAAAAAAGGAATTTGTAACCAAACTGGAGTGAGGAATAGGAATATTATATGCCTGTCTAGTTGAACAGGTTTGCTGGTGAGCTGGAAAAGAGTTTTTATCATGAATAAGAAAAACTGTTTCAAATAAATGAAGATAGCAACGTTAGAATTCCACTTTCATGGACGACAATGCATCCTGAGATGTGCATTGCTCAACAATCAACATTTCAAATTCTGACTTGGTACCTCTGTTATTTTATCACATCAGGTATATTACTTATTTCTCCTACAATACTGAGTCATTATTACACGTGTATAGGACAGGACAACCCTGGACGCATCATTGCACAACCGTTACCCAAAATTTAAATTTGGAATGTATGCAACGTCCTATTTTTCCTAGTTGATCATTCCATTAAACGTCTAAATGGTCAATCCACCTATTTAATGCTATCTGCAACTAATTCCCTAGGCACCTAATTAAATAAAGTACATACGTACCTATACTCTTTATGTAATTGGACAGCCTCAATTATAGTTTAAATATTAATTATGTAGTTTGTATTTGCTGTCAGTTAGTTAATTAAGGGCGCGTACCTATGAAAGAAAACTATCACCTAGTCGCTAGTTTCATATCATCATGTTGAAATGAATATCAATTTGCCTGTGCGTGCGGTGTGGACCAATAGATTTACGCGATATTTTCATGTCGTACGAAATAAGAAAATAATTTTTATAATTCTTCAAACGATTTCGATACTGTCTCACATTTTGGGATTTGCGTTTTCATTTAAACTCAAAATTAACTGTTTGGAAACATTAGAAGCCTTGCCATACTTTGTAGTTCTACTTACTATAGGTGAAGTTTCAGTAATTTTAGTAAACACCGTAGGATTCTATAATGTATGCTCTTTGTCCGATGTTATAATCAAGTTTATATCAAGCAAGGCCCTATCAAAATCTATTAAACTACATTTTATAGTTTGCCAAATTTTAAATTTTTTGGCCTCAGCTTTTAATTCCTACGCCATAGTTAAAACAGGATGGAGTGTTTGTCTATCTTTTTTATTTGAAATTTTGATTTTACTTTGGTTTCAAATAGTTCTGCTTTTAATATTATTTGTAGCAAGCTTGATCAATAACGAATTGGAAGATGCAAATAGGCAGCTACTAGAAAGAGTTTCTGATAATATTAACTCAGAGTCAGAATCGTTAAAAAAACTTACCAAAAGATTTAATGACATATACGAGGTGGTGGACACATTTAATCAGCATTTTAAATTTTATTATGTGTTGGCAATTCTGAATATGATTATTAATCTATTGAGGGCATGGATTTCCATAGTTGAATTTAATTTAAAAGACAAATCCTATATCAATTTCGATATTACTTCTATTAACGCAATAATAAACATCTGCTATTGGCTAAAATATTTCGTAAGTACCTACATATTTATATTCCTATATAATGAAAATTATTTAATTAAATCAAGTTCAATTTGAATCTTAAAAATAATATCTACGGGACGAGGATTTTTGATAAGGGAACTTTCATTCACAAATCAAATTCAGTCTATTGGGAAACCGGCTGCAATCTTTTAGAATTTTTTTTTGTACCTACTTGAAAAATATTAAGAGCAAAATTGTAGCTTGTGGAAATTTCCACTCCAAAACATAATACTCCCGAGTTAAACTGGTTCTCCGTTCTCTCTAGATTCGACATTCATATAGTGATTACTGACCAATCCATGAACCGAGCATTTGACTATTGAGACAAATGTTTTGATGACCCAGCCTTGGATTTGCCAATAGCTTGGGCAATTCTTCTGTGTGTTACCTGAAAAATAAAATTGAAGGCCTAAACGCGCACTATCGTTCTGATTAAAGAATCCAGAAAGGACCTCGCACCTTTCTTATGGAAAATTTTTTGAAAAATTGAGATAATGTAGTTCTCGATGTCCTGATTAAAAGTTCTCAAGGGCACAACTCAATCCTATGATCAGTTTTTGAGTTATGGGTTGTCAAAATTGGCTTTTTTAGACTTCGAGATATTGATTTTTTTTCAACATATTTGTTTATATTTCCTCCATTAGCACATTTAAATTAAAAGTTTCTACTCTAAGTTTTAGGCGTTTTGGTGTCTTCTTAAAATGTGGTATAAAAGTTCCTACAGCATCTTACACAAAATGGTGGCGACAAAGAAATGTCAATTTAGAAAAAGTCGCAAATAACTAAATTCGATCAATTGTGTATGATACAAAAACGAACGGCTAGATTTTGCCCTATTTTCAATATGTTGTTATCAAAAGTATACTTAAGAATACCTACTATAGTTTTGGATCCAGAATGTTATACCAGGTGTTCATTTTGTACCAGGGCCCCGGCGTAGATGGTAAATGCCGACTGCAAGCGGGTTTCAAGTTCAAATGCTGTTTCAATGGGCATTATTCATTGTTTTTAGTTTACCGTAGGAATGGAGTTCACTAAAATTGATAATATTGACTAAGCGTAAGAAACATAGAATAGTCTCATCTTTTTTAAAACTGTACAAATAGACCCTGAGATAGGGCCTGTTTAGTGGAGTTATTTTGATTGCCCAAAGTGAGGCAATGAAAAAAATTATTACGTTTATTAGTTTAAGTAGATAGGTATAAGTCTGATGGGATGGCACTCTTTATTCCTACGCTATATCTGTGAGAATGGTTATTTATACAGTTTTAAAAAAGGTCACATACTCGTCAGTCCTCAGACTATTTTATATTTTGTACACTATGGCCGACAATATCAATTTTAGTGAACTCTATTCCTATGGTAAACTTGAAACAATAAATAATGCCCATTGAAACAGCATTTGAACTTGAACCCCGCTTGCAGGCGGCATTTACCATCTACACCAGGGCCCTGGCACAAAATGAACACCTGGTATAACATTTTGGATCCAAAACTATAGTAGGTATTCTTAAGTATACTTTTGATAACAACATATTGAAAATAGGGCAAAATCTAGCCGTTCGTTTTTGTATTCTACACAATTGATCGAATTTAGTTATTTGCGACTTTTTCTAAATTGACATTTTGTTGCCGCCACCATTTTGTGTAAGACGCTGTAGGAACTTTTATACCACATTTTAAGAAGACACCAAAACGCCTAAAACTTAGAGTAAAAACTTTCAATTTAAATGTACTTATCGAGGAAATATAAACAAATATGTTGAAAAAAAATCAATATCTCAAAGTCTAAAAAAGCCAATTTTGACAACCCGTAACTCAAAAACTGATCATAGGATTGAGTTGTGCCCATGAGAACTTTTAATCAGGACATCGAGAACTACATTATCTCAAATTTTCAGAAAATTTAGCCGAAAGCCATTTTCCATAAGAAATGTGCGAGGTCCTTTCCCAGATAAAACTTTATGCACGGATGGCAATTAGGTAGATATTCCATAGTCCATCGATTTTCTACACACATACATTGGTGCGCTACGTTACTTTGCGTTCATGGGTCCTGTGTTTCCTGTGTCCTTCACTTCTACAGATGCGATTCTCTTATTTGATAGGTCTACGCCTGAACCGTTCACCATCCTCGTTTACCTATGCATAGTGCTCACCTTCTATTGAGTGCCATAATCTTTACCCTGAAAAGAAATTTGTACGAAACAGTCTCATCGGTTTCTATTGCCTATACTGTATTCAAATAATAAAATGATCAAAATACCTAGGCACTTGTAAGGTTCTCTAAAAAGCCAACCCGGGGCAATGATGCTTCTTCTGGATAGTTGCATTAGAAATGATGACTTGATTGTATATTCAGCCTAGAGTTGCCGTTGATAATTGCGGTCATTTACAGACCTAAATTCCTCTTAGTCACCCGAGCTGTAATATCGGTCTTGGCTATCGTTTCTGATTCTTCGACGCCCACTTATGGGGGTAGTTTCCACAGAACTCCAGTCTCGTCTCCGGCAGTAAATCTCCATTGATGGGATAGGATAGGATACACTTGACACTAATTCTAATTAAATGGATATTAGCATTCAGAATGTAGCCACAACATAACAATAAACAATTTTTACGTGAACTTACCTACCTAGGTATTTGATGCTATCTGTAATTTTTAGCAAACGCATCACTTAATTAAATAAAGTAACCACTATTTATATAAATGCAATTCCATTTTATATAATTATTAGTTTATATTTGCAATTAGTTAATTAAGGGCGCGTATAAAAGAAAACTAGTCTCTAGTATAGCATCGTCGTGTTAAAATGCATACCACTTCACCTGTTCGTTTGGTGCCGATCAATTTGTTCACACGATATTTTCATCTGATACAAAATCACAAAATAATTTTTATAATTCTTCAAGCAATTTCGATACTAACTCATATTTTGGGATTTGCGTTTTCATTTAACCTCAAGATGATTTGTATGAAAAAATTAAAAGTCTCGCATTTATATGAAGTTCTACTAATTGTAGGTGAAGTTTTAGTAGTGTTAGGAAACACTGTGGGATTTTATAATATAAGCTCTTTATCCGATGTTATAATCAAGCTTATATCAAACAAGTCAACGACTTTATCAAAATCAATTAAACTGCATTTTATATTATGCTGTGTTTTGAACTTTTTGGCCTTGTCTTTTAGTTTTCACGCCTTAGGTAAAACAGGATGGGATGTTTGTTCATCTTTTTTATTTGGAATGATCATTTTACTTTGGTTTCAAATAGTCCTGCTATCAATATTATTTGTAACAATTATGATCTCTAACGGATTAGTGGATGCAAATATGCAGCTTTCAGAAGTAGTGTCTGATAATACCCAGTCAAAGTCGGAATTATTATTAAAACTTCCCCGAAGATTTAATCACATATACGAGGTAGTGGACACATTTAATCAGCACTTTAAATTGTATTTTGTGTTGGCCATTTTAAATATGATTGTAAATCTATTGAGGGCATGGATTTCCATAGTTGAGTTCAATGTGAAAAAAGACACATCTAATTTTCATTACGATATTACGTCTCTTAATGAAATAATAAACATCTGTTATTGGCTCAAATATTTTGTAAGTACAAATTTTATGTAACTCATTAGTTTCTGGCAAAAATGCAAGTCCATCTTGGATCTTGAAAATAAACCCTATAGTGGACGTGGATTTTTTGAGGGGCTCTATTTATTCATAAAGCAACCGATTTAGAACTATTGGAAATCGGCCGCTATCTCGTAAAATGTAAGTAGGTACACTTTTTGCGATAATTTCAGACAGATGTTTGTGCAGAATTGTTGCTCGTAAAGTTTTTTTCACGAAAATACTTCTTTCACATTGTTCTCTCTAGACTCGATCAACTCAAATTCAATTTGAGAACAGAATATTTGACCCTCGGGCCTCCAGGCAACGAGCCAGTTTTCGTGATCTGTGGTTTTGGCGACCACGAGTTCATTTTAACCGTGATTACCTACTGTTGCCGTGGCCTAACCCCTAACCTAAGGGCGATTCGAGTGGTAATGTAAATTTCATCAATAACTGGACCAAATGAGCTTCAGATAGCGTCTGCTTTAGATCATTTTAGAGACATCCTAAGTCCAGTAAGACCTTTTGGGGATATCCTATGCAATATCTGTAAGACTTCTTTAAGAAGTACCACAAAAACTTCTTGGAACATTCAGAAGGCGTCTCCTAACAACGTCTCAAACTAGACGTCTTGGGGATCCTCTAAACTGCCCACACTATTATTGCCTTAAGGTCGTTCTGGGGACACTCATGTTAGCTGAGTGAGTTGCAATCGAACTTTGTATGTTACATGAGAAAGATCGTGAAAATATTGCAGTTTTATAAGGCGGGGGAGAAAGAAAACTCCTGATCCAAAGATTCGAAGCATGAACATCCAAACCAAACTGTATTTTGTACAGGGGAGACCTTTACAGAGTTATTGGAACAAACATGCAACATATGCAGATTCCATATCTTAGCTAGCTGTGACAAGCTGATGAAATCCTGGTTCTCATTTCCGTGAATGGAGCTTGAACATGATTTACCTATGTATTTTCTGAAATAGAACCAGTCAGCCAGTTGGCTTGATTTTCAGGATATTGGGTACATTCAGGCGGTCGCCAGCGGCTAAGCTCAGCCACTCAGCAGGGACTTTATTCTCGAAACCAAAGAACAGCATTCTCATAAGAACGATTGCTCTGTCATTGTCAGTGTTATGCCGGACGACAAAGACAGAATCTTCATTCCAATGAGAACGCTGCTTCCCTGTTTCGAGAATAAAGTTCCCGATGAGTGGCTGAACTAAGCCGCTGGCACCGCCTGAATGTACCCAATGTTTCTTCTCTCTCAGCTAGATTTCTCGATATTCTTACTGAAAGTATCATTGCGATTGGCCATTTTTGTCGAAAACATTGTGTTTAACAAAAAAATTGCGAAGACAAAATAAATTGAATTGTCTCCAAAGATAAGGGGACTCACGAAAAAGGGTCTCCTATTCCACATGTCATGAAACCCCTGTGTCCCAAATTGGGAGATTCTCGTGCAACAGGTTTCTGACATATAAAAAAGAGACAATTCTTTAGGGGCGAATTTCAGCAAACTATACACACTTGGCATAAACAAAAAATACGTGCCACCTAATTTTTTTTATTGAGAATCTATTACCAAATTTTGTTGCATTTATTTCCGGACACCCTGTGTATAAAAACGTGCCTATATGACGAAAAGTTTTAGCATCCCAACCCAACAGTTTTGGAAATAATCGCAAAAACATCAAAATTATACACTGTTTGCATATTTTTCGAATTCAAAAGACAACCCTCTAAAATCCTGTCCGCAAAGTTTTATTTTTACTTTTGAGAATGGCTTGATTCGATCCTAATGTACTCCTTAACAGTAACTGGATGCTGGATGATGAACTCATGCATATTTTGCACTGAGATTTTAACATGAAAATTATGTTAATATTTTTTTTTTAGAGTGAAGTAACTGTAACAGCTTGGATAGGAGAAACCCTGGAACAAGAAGGACAAAAAACAATCAACATTTGTTATCTATTGCAGCATAAACTTCCTTTACGATCTCAGTCAGAACACGATCAGCTCATAAGAGAGGAGCTCAATATTCTACTGGACGAAAGTAAATCAAGGAAAGTTTATCTACATGCTGGTGGATTTTTCAAGATCAATTGGGGGATTTTGGGAACCATTGCAGCGACTGTTGCAATGTATTCTGTTGTTATTGCTCAATTTACCTTAAATATATAGAGACATTTTGCCGCCATCTTGAAGAATTGGTATAGAAATAAAACTCGTAAATTATGTTTCAACCTTTTTTTTTTTATTGTAAAATGACCAAGAATAACTCTAAAACTTTCAGAATCAATATATTATAGTTGATATAGATATAATATGTATTCGATTACATGATATAGACAATCTTCAACTAAATAAATATATTACTTTATCTTACCCAATACAAATTTTTCTAAAATTATTTAGTTAAAATTATATTGTACCAACTGAACTGGCCGTTCTGATTGATTAATACTGATCTTGGCACCCGAAATTGATTAATTTAGTTAAATATGCGCGTGGTGATGATATTATGGAATCAAAAAGCCAATTTAGTTTTTAGAGAAATTGCAAACTATACAGCAAAAATGCTTACCTATGATTGCCCTTTTGCTTCGGTTCTTGTAAAAATTATCTTCAAAAATTGTTTGAAAACATTTTTTGCAAGAACCGATTTACTCACGATTATCAGACCATCAAATATTTCTTATAAACTACAATATTTAGCAAACATTGTGAACAGACTGTATTTTTAATAAATAAAAACACAACCTTTATCTGAGAAATCAGAACACAAATTCTCCTTACACTAGTGTAGGGATCACAACTAAATAATTGTTTTTTTAATTATTACTTAGGGAAAACTGCCAATTTTGGTACTTTTTTTTTAGCAAGTATATACTTCAAAAGATACAACTTTTTACTAACCCTGTGTTTGTTTGAATTATTTACATTAATGATTTTCTGGTTTCAAAAAATACCAACAAAAGGCAATTTAACTCAGCTATATCTACGGATCCCACCTCCATATGTAGATATGTCACCTCTAGAACTGCACAACAATAATTTTTGTAAATAGTTTAACATCTAAGGACCGCTAGATCAATAGGTTTGCTAACAAGTGATATTCCTGTTAGTTCTAGCGGCTCTAAGTCGAGAGAAACGAACACGCATGATGCCATTGTGGTATGTATACTATGCAGAAGTGTTTCTTCTTTTTTTTTTTTCTCAGAAACTATTTTTCTGCGTTTACTGATTCAAATAAATCTAACTCAATTGAAAGAATATTCTATATTTACAGCTTATATAAATGATTATGCTATTGCAACATAGACTCAGTGCTCACACAAGGTACATTACGGTTTTTTTTGAACTGCTGCTGTGATGCCTCTACACTAATAAATTCAATAAAAAAATTTAAAAGGGAAACGGTGGATGAATTTTTCCAAATGAAGTCAAGGGTTGGTTGGATATGTACATTTTTAGAGCCTTTGTTAGTAAGGGCCCTGCGGAAAAAAATTCATTTATTACTGATTTTTTTTACATTGTATAGAAAAGTTAGTTTTGTGAAGTAATTCAGGTTTGAAGTTTCCTTTTGCATGGTACTCGGCGTCATGGCTAGAAAATGTTACGTAGGTAGTATTTTATGTACGTTTTAAAGCAATATTGTTTCGAACTTTTTTACACAATTCAACCATCAACGATTATTACTTCAATTTATAGTCACCAATAATAGGCAAGATTGTCTAGAAAATAGGTTTTTAGGTGTATTTGATAAGTACCTACTTCACTAATATTTTTGAAAAATTTTGAATTTGCCTAATCCTTTTTTGACATAGGTAATTTTTTTATTTATCCACAGTGAGTATAGTAGGTACAAAAATCTCTTTTGACGAGTAGGTTAAGAATTGAGAGTTTTTGAGATGAAATCCAAAATCTGCTAGCATTTTCTGGCCACCCCACCATCTACTAGAAGCGTAGGTACGTTTATTTATTCCTAATCAGGTATCGGTAGCAGTAATAAAAATATAATTACAAATAATGGAACACATTAGTATGAAACTTTGCAACCGTGCAACAATTTTCTAGCTCAGGAAGAGTCCAAGGTTCTTGATTGAAAGTCGAAATCTGAGGAAATTGTTTTACAAATGGCCATTCAGAACCCTAATTATTGTTCCTTTTTATATTTTTTTCAGAATTAAAATGCAATATATTCAGATTTGAGACACAAAAAATAAGTAATATCTAAAACGTGCTTAGACTGGATTAGTATATGAAATGTGTGGGAATACCGTACTCCCAAATTTTTTTCAAGCTGTGGCCTGTGAAATAGTTGAAATATATTTTTATATGTTATTGGATTGCCATCGCCTTTTAGACATAGAAAGGTAGGCCCTGGATAGCTCTTCTAAGGTCAAAGGTATACCTACCCTTGCGCTATTTCTGCGAAAGTTTTGGAATCAAAATGGTAAAAATTAAATGCGCTTCAAAAAAAATTAAAAATTTAATTTTCTATCAATCTGATCTGATAGGGCCATTGGTTGGGCAACCTCAATTGCCCTCAAACTGATATACCATGCATGGATGTTGATCGTGGTCATGTCTCCAAGACATCCACGGGGAGTCTTGGCTTAACCGCCCGGACTAAGTGGTACGAGAGCCACAATAAATTATCTCCCCAAGTCAAAGTAGCAAGTGCCGACGACTGCATGACTTAGGAGTAGCTTAGCCACTAGTTTGCAAACTCCGGCACAAGGAAATCTTCAGGTTTAAATACGCCCCCTGCAGTATGGGGCTCTGCTGCAGGCGAATTTTAATTCCCTTATTATTCGTGGGAACAAATATGGAACCTGAAAATAAAAACCACCCAGAGGATAAAAATATCCTCCAACCACTCAAAACCTTCAAAACTCCAGGAGACAGCAATGTTTCCAACGTCACGTCTGAAGCAGGCATGGTAAAGGGCTCACCAAAAAGCCCCACTATGCCTGTGAATGACGAACGTTCCTCGAGCGAAAGTGAGGACTCCATCTCCAAGACGCTTTCAAAGTCAGTTTAATGACTTGAAGCTGAAGGAAAGGAACTTCAGTGCAGCTGCAAGAAAACGTTACAAGTGGCTAATGCGACAAGGCCACACCACCGAAGAAGTGCGTCAGTTGGCGAGAAAGCCAAATAAACAAAAGGAGCGACCGGAAACAGGAGCCAAAAAAAGGATCCGATCCGACGGCTCAACTCAAGGGCATTATTAGTTAAGGTAACAAATCTAACCTTTGCGAATAACTTGCGGCAAGAGGTGTTAGATTTAACCCTTGCCAGCACAACTATAGGCAACCATATAAAAGGCTAGCATGTGTCTGATGAAACCTCGATATCGGACCACAAACACATCAGGTTCGACATAGAGGGCACAGAAGAATCAATTTTAAAAACCCAAAACCTACCGACTGGGGTCTGTATAAAGACCTATTAGGAACGGAAAGTACCGATCTCCCTAAAGTTATCGGCGATCTAGAGTTCCATTCTAACGAAAGAAAGTATCCCATATTTACAAAGTATGAGAACAGTTGTTTTGCAAAGCAACGGGTAGTGAAGAGGAATACACCCTGGTGGAACAAGACACTCAGCTCCTTAAGGACTGAGACAAGAAAATTATTCAATAGGGCTAAACGCACCAACGACTGGAGCGAATACAAAAAAGCCCTAACAGAATACAACAAAGAGTTGAGAAGATCTAAAAGAGAATTCTGGAGGAGATTCTGCGAGGAGATGATCGACGTCCCTCAGATAATGTGCCTCCAGAAATCCTAGCAAAAGATCACTCCAACAATATCGGGCTCCTTCAGAGATCTGATGGTAGCTATACCTAAAGTAGACTAGATAGTGTAAAACTGCTTCTGCAAACACATTTCCTGAAGTCTATCGAGCGGAAACCTGATGGAAAAAGGGCGTTCCGCGATTGACCAACCGCACTAAAGGCCTAGCCGGATGGATATTCACTGAAAATAAGATCAAAGGGGCTATAAACAGCTTTCAGCCCTACAAATCACTGGGTGCCCTCTTACAAGGCCTAAAAGAATCAGCACCATATCTGACAAAAATGTTCAAAGCTAGCTACCTACTAGGCTACATTCCCACCAGTTGGCGGGATGTGAATGTGGTCTTCATTCTAAAGGCTGGTAGGCGTCCTTAACAAAGCCTAAGTCATTCAGACCAATCAGCCTAACCTCCTTTCCTCTGAAAACCATGGAGAAAATCATTGACCTTTACATCAGGATCGAATTTCTAATGGAAAGCCCGTTCCAAAAGATTCAATTTGCCTATCAGCCAGGTAAATCAACTGAGACAGCCCTACACAGTCTTGTCACTAAGATTGAAAAGGCACACAAGGTACCTTAATGAAACTACAATTGCATAGATTGAAGCCATGCTCGAGAATAGGAAAATCAAAGCAACCATTGGAAGTGACTCTGCAACGGTCTTAGCAGTCAAGGGATGCTCCTAAGGGGAGTATTATCCCCACTGTTGTGGTCACTAGTGGTAGATGAACTTCTCAACGCGCTAAGCGCCCAAGGGATCACAGTCCTAAGATATGCTGACGATCTCACAGTCATCATTAGGGGTAAGCATGAGAGGATCATTAGTGTCCTCATGCAAAATGCCATAATTGTACTTTTCACAAGGAAAATGGAGCTAAATGTAGCAGCCCCAAATGGGATACAAATCAATTTCGCAAGTGAGGTCAAATACCTCAAATTAACATCTCAAAACCGACCGGGCAATATCCACATACTGGACATGCCCTAGATTATTCAGCAAGACTTGGGGACTAAAGCCAAAAATGATCTATTGGTTATTTACAATGATTATAAGGACCCATGGTCACCTACGCTGCAATAGTGTGGTGGCCAAAAGTAAAACAACAGACAGCGCAAAACCGATTGGCAACTGTACAAAGGTATGCATGTCTGAGACTTACAGGAGCAATGAACCCTGTCTAGTGGCGGTTCATTACATAATTTTCTGGCGGGGTAATGGATGACGGGAAAATCATCAAGTTTCACAACGTATCGCCAAAGGTTCCCTGCCGGGGGTGAATTTTTTTTTGGAGTGCCACCCTCAAATTTGCACCCGAAAGTCGTTTAAAAAACACGCCTTGGGCAAAAATTTATCCGGTTGCCTTTAATACTTTACTT